GCAGAGCAGGAAGATGAGAGCTGGGCTCTGCAGAAGGTGTCAGGTACCCCTTCCCTCAATCCCCCGTCCTAGGACCCCTCATATTCCAGCCGGGCAGGACTAGACGGAAATGCAGTGGTACACTTAAGGTGCTTTAAAATCTTACCTTAATGCTTGACTAAAACATGCTATGTAAACTGACCCAAAGAAATAAAATGGTCCACTGACTTTTAAAATTTTCTATGAGAAGGGGAATGCATTTGATTATTCTTTTTTCGCTTATTCTAACGTATTCTAATTCCACAAGCAAATTGAGATTCATTGATAGTAAGAGCTACTTTTTTTTTTTTTAAAAGCTAAACATTCTCCCTCTCTAGAAAACTTCTCCGAACCCAAATGCCTATAGAGCATAAACTGGATTATAAGATGTTCATGGCTTAAAAAAAAAAAAATGGTTTTTAATATTGCACCTTCAAATTGCTTTCTCTTAATTTTCCCTCAGAAAACCATGTTAAATAACTTTTTAAAGGTTTTAAGAGCTTTATTTTTTCTCCCTACTTGAGAGAGGCTCCATTTTAGTAGCAGAAAATAAATGTATTTCAAATGAAGCGTTAGCCTCAGATAACTTACCGCGCCCCTGGCTCCAGAGCAACTTGGATTTCCGATTCTTCGAGCAGGTTAGTGACTTGGGAAACCAGTAGAAGAGCCGGGCTATTCTTCTGACTGTCTTGTTAAAGTCACTTTTGATGGCCATAGCCAGTACTGCTGAGTGCTTCAGAACAGCCCTCCACGAGCGTGGACGAGGAAAACACAGCAAGACCCACATGTGACACTTTAGCTGTGAACTCTTTCCGCCAACACGTCTGGGGACCACCTGTCAGCCCTAAATCCCCTTCCCCTGTCATCCCTTTGGTCTGTCCTTTGGACCTTAGCCCTCGTAACTAGAAACTGTATTAATAGATGTTCTTTCTAAACAAAGAGTTTTAAGCTTCAGAAACTCTAACCTAATGCAACGCTTGATAATTTTTAAGTATAGACGCCACCCCTGCCCCACCTCCTCCAAGGAATTACAATTACTTTCACACAGGGACCAAGTCACCAGTATCCACTAACACAGAATCCAACGGAATTGTCAACGGCAGTCTGCAGGACTTGCTGGTGTTTAACCAAGCTACTTATAAAAGCCATAGCCTTGATCCCATTTGTTTTGCACATTTTTTTTTGTTTTGTACATTTTTTATTGGAAAAATGAAATGCATTTTAAGCCTTGGCAGGAATCTATCGCAGAATGAAAGAATTTGACTGATTCTTACAAGTAAAGAAGTAAATAAAAGGCAAAGATCCATCATCACTCCTAGAACTACATCTAACAACTGATCTTTGTGGATTCTGTTATGTCAAAAGAAATAAACTTATTCATACATTAGTCCTTAAAACAGCCTGATGTAATGTTTGGACAGGCTTCTTTTATGGGAAACACTGCATTTTTGGAGCTGATTTATACACACCCACAAAAGGAAACTATTCTATGACCAGCTTCTGTTTCCAAGTCAGACGTTTTGGTCTCCTGCTCTACTTCCATGAGTTCTTGTGAATTTGCTTAGGAGTCTGCTTCTAGGTGACAAGTGGGGGAGGAAGTTCAATTAAAACCATAGTGGAAGACTTTCTGATACTCTCCTCTTCCTAAAAATAGGATGTAGGCTGGTGGATCTTGCCCAAAATGACAGCACTAAGACTTCCTTATGTTTTCAGTGTCTGCCCCCACACATTTTAAATGTTTGAGTAACTGTAAATTTTCTACAGCAAAAAGTACAATGTGAAAAATGCCCTTCTGTGTGGAGTGAAGTCAAAGATAAAAAGACTAGCTCTGGTTGTGGTTGTGATTCTGAAGGCACAATAAAAGTTCTGACATTTCAATTGAGACTGTTTATTCCTACTGATAATTCATAAGTCCTTTCTTAATTCCAAATAACAAACCTCTTTTAGCACAGAACACCACAAAAAGCAAACTTCATCGCTTAAAAAAAAACCTCAGGAAAACAAAAACACATTCTGGATAACTTACTGATGCAGGTATTATATTTTTAAAGGAATATTTTGAGGAAAAGATCTTTTTATATCTAATAAGAGACACTCTGACAGTGTAACAAGGGCTATAAACCACTTACACAGTATTTGGTCATTCCCAAAATAATTGAAATGGGAGCTTTAGAAGACATGATGGGATTATTTTCCACATTTCTCCCTTAACCTCTAATTTTTATTTACTAAAAGATATCCCTGTTTTTCCCACATAATTTACATTCACTTATTTCATTTTTGATTACCTCTTCTATCAGAACCATAATCTCTTTTATACATTAAGAATTAAATCCTACCTTACACCTGTCAGAATGGCTATAATCAAAAAGAACACAGATAACACATGGTGGTGAGGATGTGGAGAAAGGAAACCCATGCACACTGCTGGTGGGAACATAAACTGATGCAGTCACTGTAGAAAACTAAAGCAGAGCTAAAAGGAGAGCTATCATATGACAGCAATCTACTCTGAGGTATACATCCAAAAAAACCCAAAAACACTAACTTGAAAAGATATGTGCACTCCAATGCTCACAGCAGTATTATTTAGTTGCCAAGATACAGAAGCAATCTAAGTATTCATCGACAGATGAATGGATAAAGATGTGGTGTATACATACATGATGGACACTCAATCATTAAAAGAGAATTAAATTTTACCATTTGCAACAATGTGGATGGACTTGGAGGGTATTATCCTAACTGAAATAAGTCAGAAAAAGACAGATACAGTACAATACCACTTTTATGTGGAATCTAAAAAATACAACAAATTAGTGAATATAATAAGAAAAGAAATAGAGTCCCAGAGAAAGAGGACAAACTAGTACTTACCAGTGTGGAGAGAGAAGTAGAGAGGGGCAATATAGGGTAGGGGATTTAGAGCTAGAAACTACTATGCATAAAATTAGCTAAAAGTATATACTGTACAACAAGGAATAAAGGCACTATTCTATGACTATACATGGAGTATAACCTTTAAAACTGTGAATCCCTATACTGTACATTTGTAACATATAATATTATATATTACTGTACATTAATTTTAAAAAACTACCAAAAAAAAAAGAAAGAAGAGTTAAATGCATCAACTCTTTCACTTGTTACATTTAATATTTTTAATCCCCATCTTTTGGAAATATATCCAAATACTGAAAAAAAAAAGCTACTCAACTAGAGATGTAACTTATTTTAAAGCTAATTTTACTTACATAGTAACTCTGAAAATTTGGTTAGCAGACCAATGTCACTATGCATTTATTGACATAGGTGTTTTGAATGACCATGCATTCTTGACAGTAGTCTATTGAAAGCAAGTGTGCTTGATTTACATGCTGCTGTAACGAGGAATAGAACAGTAAGTCTTACCCAACTATTAGCGTGGATCAGCATTGATTTTACCAGGACAACTTACACAAGTTACACAAATACAGTCCCCACAGCAAGGGTTTGTTTATTGATGTTCTTTTCTAGAGGTGCTTGAATAAAAATGAAATTTGCAAATATATTAACTGACCATATAACTTACATAAAATTTTTAGCTAGTATTCAGTGACATAAACTTTTAAACTACACAATTAAAGACATTCATGTGAAATGGTCAAATGGAAAAATTAAAATTATAAGAGATTAAACACCCCCTTGCCCCACACATTCTCTGACTAAACAGTTTTTGATGATGATAACTGTCACAATCAAAGTAATGTCAAAGTAAAGTAATGTCATTTACCCATGTATTTATTTCTATGTGTATAGGTGACACTTAAAATTCCCCACCACAATAAAGTATCAATTTGAGATTTCAAATAACATCCTAATCCGGTTTCAGTTTTCCAATGTCCATGGGAGCCAAAATTTATTTACTCTTTAGAACATGGTCTCTTCATGATATACAGGTTGTACACGGTCATACTTCAATCATCTAAGAAATCAGAAACCAAAACCAAAACCTAATCCTTCTGGGATAAAATAATTTCGTATTGAGCACAATTCTTTTGTCTAGAACCTTGGGTACATTTTTCAAAGAGAAAGCTCTCTTGGATTTGTACAGTGTATGTTTATGAAAGAACTTCTACTAAATTTGGAATCAATGGTTTAGAAAAGACACTGAATTGCCCCTCATCCAATTTCTGAGGTTAACTGACCATTACCACCCACATTATTTTTCAAAAGATAACTTTTGTTTCTCAAACTGTTGTACACAGAAAAAATACAAACTGTTACATTAAAATCGAGAAATTTATTGGTATTTCTTCATGAAATAGTAAGCAGAATTAAAGAAGAAATGTACAGCCTAAAACAGTTGAAATGATCCTAAAATTTTTATGACAATTATACATTTATGGCCAAAATAAAAAATGAACAGTTTTTAATAATTCATCACTTTAAAAATTTTGCTCAGTAATTTACCTGAAATTAAACAGATAGGAGGATAACTGGGATAATGCCACTTTATCCTTCTCAAAAAAACTGGGATCCTAGTACAACAGTGGTTCGGTTCTGCTCTTCACTCACAAAAGCTATCTCACCATTCTGTCACTTACAAACGTATCAACAATCAGCCTTTACTGATTTGTAAGGATGCCAATTTTGGTTCCACTTAAAAATGTTTTCAGCAGGCAGTCGGAGATACATGACTTAATTGGCCTTACTCAGAAAAGTCGACCATCAGTATCTCAGAATACAGGTCATGGCTTTCTTCTAAGTGCTAACTGAGGTCAAATGTCCTCATATAATTATGAATGTTAAAAGGTAAAATTACATCTTAACAGCAGCCAAAAATTTATATATTTTTATGTATTTACAGTATTATACATATTTACATGACCACATCAAATAGTGAAATATAGAAACAAGAGACCACCTATACAGGCATTCATTTAATGCCTCGACATTATTTTCTTGTGCAAACCGAAACTTGCCTCGAACTTCTTATAAAGCTAAAGACAGTCAACATTGCGAAGGCCACCGTCCATGGTTAATGAGCCAAACCTAAAACACAAAAGAAAAAAAGGCAATCTCACAAGATTCATTTATTTGACCTCTAATATTTTAAAGAATATAAAACACTTCTTAGATGAACAAACTATTCTTTTTAAAGAGTTAACCAACCATAATTTGCTCTATTTTGAAAATAGAGCAAAATAAACTTGCTCTAATTTGAAACACAGTGGTATTATTATAAATATTTGAAGAAATAAAACTCAATGGCTTGGGAAGACTTCTTAAGAGAAAACGAGGAGTGACATAATCTAGAAAGCATTAGGAAGAGTTGGGTAATTTCTTCGGGATGGGATTTATAAACACAGATGTGGAGCTAGGAGTCAGGGACAGTGAGGAATGGAATCCTGCTAGAACAGAATGTTATTTGGAGGAATAAAATTGGGTGATTAGGCTGGCATCAGACTATTATATTCTTTGAATTCAGTACAAATTTATACTTGACTTTTTAGGTAGCAGGAATTTAGAAATTTTTGAGTCAAAGGAGTGGTATGATTAGATCAGTATTTGGGAAGATTAGTTTGGCTGTAAAACCCATGACAGATGAGAAGGGCTGGTTAAGCATATAGGTGGGAGATTATGCCAATGGCTCATGAGGGAGGGGGAAAGGAGACCTAAATGAGGTTGATGAGGGCAACAGGCGAACATTTTGAAGGAAGACTACCAAATATGATGAAAAGAGGTTAAAAAAAAGTTAGTGTCTAAAATAATTTATATTCATGGAAGGAGAAAAAAGGGGAAGAAGATGAGGAAATTACAGGGGAAACTGAGTTGGGAAGGATGATAATTGATTTTAGATACAAAAAAATCTTAAGTGACAGATATCTATGTGGAAACAGTGCATAAGACTTGGTTTCTATTACCTGTTCTGGCACAAATCCTTAAGTGGTCACTCAAACATTTAAGTTATGATTCTGCCATGTCTGGTTACCCATGAATTGTCAAGCCAGCAAATAAAACATGACTTAGTGGACATGCTTTGGGAAGTGGGGATTTTCTTTCACAAAACAGAAGTGATTCAATATATCAATAAAATTTTGTTAAAAAATTTTAATAATCTTTTCTACTTGCTAATCTTTAGCCTTTCAGGATAAATTTAGAATTTAGCTAAAGTTGTGAAGAAACTAGTTTGAGTAAATTTATGAAGTTATAAAGAGATAATTACTATGTAGATGCTATAAACCAATAGGAAAAGACTTTAAAACCTAACATAAAATTCACAGGAAAAAAATAAAAGAAGGAACATATAAAAAGACGTTTGACATCACTATTAACTGAAGAAATGCAAACTAAAATAAGATACCAGCTTCAACTAAACAAACTGGCATTTGAAAAAGTGGTAACATTAAGTGTTGACAATGGGATAACAAGCAAGTCTTTTAGAGAACTAACAAAGCTGATTCAAAATTTAAATGTGCCTAACCTTAGACCCAACAATTCCGTATCTAGAAATCAACCCTTCAAAAATTCTTACACAAGCACATGAAGAGGTATATGAACATGTATGTTCACTGAAGTATGGTTTGTAATTGTGAAAAATTAGAAACAATTTAAATGCCCAATAAACAGGGATGCACTAAATAGGTATGGTAGATGACTATGCTAGAATACCAGGCAGCTGCTGAAAATGAGAAAACTAAAGCTATAGGTAAGGATGTGAAAAAGTGTTCTTGTTATATAGTCTTAAGTGAAAAAAGACTAAACCAGTGTGAACAGAATGATTCCATTCTTATAAAATAGACATGCACAACAAACTATTAATACTGATTACTTCTATGGGGGTGGAGAAGTATGAGAAAGTAGATGAATTTTATTTCAATTTTTACAATTACATATGGCTAAAAATTGATTTACCAATTCATTAAATTCATTAAGAAGGCTGATGATACTACAGAAGTGTCTGATAACTTTCTGCATGTAGCTCGAATATCATGTGATTTCCTGACATTTAATCTTTTCAAGCCTTAGGAAGCTGTGTCGTCTTTTATTTGAGAGAACAGGGCTAGCAGGGGGAAGATGATGTGAGGAGATAGGAGGCTGGGTTCCAGCTTCAGTTCATCTTCTCAGGTATGAAGGTCAGCATCTGTGGAACACTGACAAAGACTATCTGCTAGACCCTGGAATGCAAGGCTGGAATGCACGCTTAGAGAGGCCATACAGCATGAAAGTGCCCTTTAAGTGTACAAAACACCCGTCCTTGCATTAACATCGTGGTGGTGAGAGGACCTCTGGAGAAACACCTAAGGGCTGGAAAAAGAAGGCTCCTTCATGAGCCAAATATGACTTCACTTCTCTGAGAAACACAGACAAGGAATCTGAGGAAAACAGCCAATAAAGTGGCTTTATTGGCTCTGTATGTTTTCCAACTTTTTCTCCTTGATCTATTAGGATTCTGGAGATAAGCAGACACTCAGCTCCTAAAGAACTCAATGAACAGATGATGCTCACGTGCAAGGAGATGTGCAGAGGGTTCTGTGAGTTATACTACCAGAGTGCTGTCATCTCCTAAGCAGCTCTGATTTCAGAATTGAAAATGATGATTCTAATGAGAAAATGTCTGGAACAATAACATGCAAAGTATTTTTGTTTTCGCAGACTGATTCAAAGAATTCTATTAGGTTGCTGCAAAATTGTGGTTTTACACTGTTGAAATTTGCCATTTGATACTGGAATACATTCTTAGATAAATGTGGTTATGCTGTCAGACATCATATTAATGTGCATTTCTCACTTTATGTATTTTTGCTAATGACTTATTACTTGCTGTTTATTTTATATTTATTTTATTTTAGACTATGGAAATGTTAGACAAAAAGCAAATTTGAGCAATTCTCTTATTTGAGTTCAAAATGGGTCATAAAGCAGAGCAGACAACTTGCAACATAAACAAAACATTAGTGCTTCAAGAAGTGGTTCAAGAAGTTCTGAAAGGAGATGAGAGCCTTGAAAATGAGAAGTGTGGTGGTTGGCCATTGGAAGTTGACAATGACCAATTGAGAGAATCATCAAAGCTGATCCTCTTACAAATACACAAGAAGTTGCCAAAGAACTCAACGTCAACCATTCTACGGCCATTCAGCATCTCAAGCAAACTGGAAAGGTGAAAAAGCTTGGTAAGTTGGTACCTCATGCGCATGCGTGGTCAGTCACTTCAGTTGTGTTTGACTCTTTGAGACTCCATGGACCGGAGCCCACCAGGTTCCTCTGTCCATGGGATTCTCCAAGCAAGAATACTGGGGTGGGTTGTCATGCCCTCTTCTAGGGGATCTTCCTAACTCAGGGGGATTGAACACATCTCTTAAGTCTCCTGCATTGGCAGGCAGGTGACACATGAGCTGACCACAAATAAAAAAAAACTGTCGTTTTAGATCACCAGCCCAGGTTGGATGCATGAGACAAGTGCTCGGGCCTGGTGCACTGGGAAGACCCAGAGGGATCGGGTGGAGAGGGAGGTGGGAGGGGGGACCGGGATGGGGAATACATGTAAATCCATGGCTAATTCATTTCAATGTATGACAAAAACCACTGCAATGATGTAAAGTAATTAGCCTCCAACTAATAAAAATAAATGAAAAAAAAAAAAAAAACAAAAAACTGTCGTTTTGAAGTGTCATCTTCTCTTGATCTACACAACAACAACAAACTGTTTCTTGATTGGTTGTGATGTGTGAGGAAAAATGGATTTTATATAAACAACCAGTGATGACCAGGTCTGTGTCTGGACCAAGAAGAAGCTCCGAAGCCCTTCCCAAAGCCAAACCTACACTCACAAAAAGTCATGGCCGCTGTCGGATGGTCTGCTGCCCAACTGATCCACTACAGATTTCTGAGTCTTGGCGAAGCCATTACCTCTGAGACAAGTATGCTCAGCAAATCGATGGGATGCACAGAAAACTGCAACAGCTGCAGCCAGCACTGGTTAGCAGAAAGGGCCCAATTCTCCACGACAACACCCAACAGCATGTCACACAACTAACATTTAAAAGCTGAACAAACTGGGCTACGAAGTTTTGCCTCATCCACCATATTCACCTGACCTCTTGCCAACCGACTACCACTTCTTCAAGCATCTAGACAACTTTTTGCAGGGAAAATGCTTCCAGTAGGAAGCAGAAAATTCTTTCCAAGAGTTCGTCAAATCCTGAAGCATGGATTTTTATGCTATAGGAATAAACACACTTATCTCTTGTTGGCAAATACTTGTTGATTTTAATAGTGCCTATTTTGACTAATAAAGATGTGTTTGAGCCTAGTTATAATGATTTAACATTCAAGATCCAAAACTGCAATTACATTTGCACCAACCTAATAGTAACCAGTGCTTCTATAAAATGAAATCAATCACAATTAACTTTTCTTTATCCAAACAACCCCAAACATTAACAGGCATCATGAAATTCACAAAACCTAAGGGTTCTGACTTAATACTCCTTTCTCACTGCTTAACCTATTGATACAGGAAGACAGACAGATACAAGTATAGATAAATATGTACGCACTCAATTGCATAATCACCAGGAAGAATGATTTTTTTTAATTACTCACCTTTCTAAAATATGATTATTTTCAGCAAGTTCTTTAACTACCCCTTCCATTTCTTCCTTTAATTTCTTCATACTATATTCAAAATAAAGATAAAAGTATCTCTGCTTAAAAAAAGTGAGCAAATGTTCTATGATTATATTTACAGTATGTTTAGTTCTCTAGATTGATCTAAGCCATTAAATAACATTAGCAAATGTATTCCTAACAAATATAAAACATTTCAAAATAAAAGAGCAAGTAAAACAAAATAAAAACAAATAGAAACATTACAGTTACCAAATAATAAATTTCTTACCCAAGAGTCATTTCTACTAATGTGTTAGAACATGGATAAATTGGGGTCATGGTATGTTTGATCCCACTGGAGGCTGCAAACATTTTCTGTGGCAAAGTTTCTTGTAACTACAACATCAGAAACAAACAAAAAAACCCACATCAATCACAGAACAGAATACTTACTACAGATCTTGGAACAAATGTTACAGGTTTTAAAAAGCCCATTATAGCTTTATGCTGTAATTTCAAAACCATCAATAATACAATACTTCAACCAAAACTCTTTTTAAAAAAACTTCTTAGATGATAAAAAATGATCTATTAGATGTTTTATAATTAAAAACATCTAAGTTCTTGAAACCTGGCTCAAAATACGTATCACACAGACTTCCCTGGTGGCCCACTGGTTAACAATCCACTGTGCGGTGCAGGGGGTGTGATATCTGGTTGGGGAACTCATAATCCCACCTGCTGTGGAGCAGCCGTGACCACTCAGCCCACTCGCTCCAGAGTCTGCACCACGAGAAAGCCCGAGTGCCAGAACTAGAGTCTGTTCACCGCAACGGACGATGCCTGTGCGAAACCGAGGCCAGGTACATGAACAAGCGTGCATGTCAGCCACTCCGTCACACGTATCTCCCTGCCACCCCCTGGACTGCAGACCGCCAGGGTCCTCTGTGCATGGGCTCCTCCAGGCAAGAATACTAGAGTGGATGCCATGCCCTTCTCCAGGGGGTCTTCCTGACTGAGGGGTAGAACCCGGGTCTGCTGCATCGCAGGCAGACTCTTTACCATCTGAGCCACCAGTGAAGACTAAATAAACAAATAAATCTTTAAAAAGGATTTCAATGGTACATGTTACACTGTGTACATTAAAAAAATACATATCACAAATGAGCAAGTGGAACTGAATACAGGCTATTATATCCTATTTCTCTCTTTTCAATCATTATCAGATACAAACTGAGAAGAATTTTAATTTTTCCTAATAGGAAAAAGGCTTTTATTCTAGATAATTTTGAAGCTATACCTCATTAGTATAGTCTTGATACTTTGATACTTCTTCTTCAATATCAAAACACTGATTAGTTAGGGATAATAACTGTTTCCTAAGGTGAAGCATCTTTCTGAAAACCAAAAAGAATCAATTAATAAGCAGTCTAAGGAAATATTACCCTTACTTAAAATATGTAATATAGATTAGATTGTATATTGTGCAGCCAACCACTAATCACCCCCCAAAAGTTTACTTACCTCATCCATTCTTCTGACTTATCCAAAAAAGTCTCATACTTTTTAACACATTCATCCATAAAGTGGGTCATAGCTTTTGTTGCATGATAATACAGTTTTTGCCTGTAATTTAGAAATGATCAGACTTAGAGCAATGTCACTGTCTCTATTTCCAATATTAAAGAGTCTTAAAATATATGAAATTTCTTTCCTGTGACGACTGTTGTGGGTTTAGGATATTTACAGTAGAAAGCACCTAAGATTTCTAAGACAGACATTATAGCAGCAAGAGAAGAAAAACAGACATTATAGCAGCAAGAGAAGAAAAAGAAGGTTCATAGTGGAGAATGGTCAAAATCTATTAACTGAATGAGGTTAAGGTCAGAGAGGTGGTTAGGTGTGCGCTCGCCTATGTTCTCTATTGTCTGTCCTTCTGCAGTCAGAGCACAGGGGGCAGAAGACTGTCTCCCTTACCCTCCTATCTCTGCAACCTCTGAACCAGGGAGGCAGGTGAGTAGGCCTCAAATATGTGCACATCAGTCACAGCTCTATATAAGGCCAATATTAAGATGTATTTTTTATGTGATTAATCACAACTCTAAGAAGAATCTCATTAACATATAACCAACTAATTATCAAACATAATCTGAGAGGAAGGAGAGGGTGAGATGAATGGAGAGAGTAGCATGGACGCATATAAACTAACACATCAAACAGCTGGCCAGTGGAAATTTGCTATGACTCAGGAAACTCAAACTGGGGCCCTGTCACAACCTAGAGGGGTGAGAAAAGGTGGGAGATGGGAGGTGGGAGGGAGGCTTCAGAGGGAGGAGACAGATGTACACCTATGGCTAATTCATGCTGATGTATGGCAGAAATCAAACCAATATTGTAAAGCAATCATCAATTAAAAATAAATATAATTAAAAAACCATAATCTGAACACTTACTTATCAAATTTGTGGATTTGTTCTTCATTATAAGCTAGTCCTAAAAATAAAAATATATATTAGTTTTATAAATGTAGAATCATAAAATCACATGCAATTGTTTTCTGAGATTAGTACTTCAAAAAGCCTAACAGCTTAAAGCAGATGTTACAAATTTGTGACCCATGGGTAGATATAACCCACAAATTCTTTTATTTGGTCTATACAGTGCTAACATTAAAAAAGAATTGTCAAAAAAAAAATTGTCCACATTTAAAAACAGGATATTTCTAGTAGAGTCTATTCCTAGCTTCTCTTGAGACCTAGGAAGACTGGAAAAACAATTAGGTGAGTCTGAGTACTGGCTCTCCCCTTCGATGGGGGCAGGGCCGGGGAGGGGCTCCCCTCAGGCTCCACTGGCGACTCTCATTCCTTTCTTTTACGTGCATGGCCCCTAGAGGTTTGAGAGACCATGATCCCTGATTTGAAATACTCAAAAGGTTGAATATTTAATACATTCAACCTCTTTCCTGACAGAAATCAAGTCTCTGAAATAAATCACTTACGTAGACATCTTTATTAAATATAGCAAATAATTCAACTGAATTACAACTAGTAGGACTGACTCATTAGATTAACAAATGGGAAATTTTACTTACTACGTTCTGCCTTGTCTTTTTTGAACTGATAGTAAATCTCTGTGATGCAATTTAACAGGACCTGTAGCTTTTCTACACTGTTTTAGGAAGAAAAATCCAAATAAATTAACTGAGTCGATGTGAAAAAGGACATTTAATAATAAGAGCAGAAACTACCAATGCACTTATAACCTACTGTCTATCCTTGGGATGAGTGCCTTCTTGATGGGTCCATGTATCGGCAAGTAATCCACCTGGAGACAATTTGCTTTCAATATCCTGGAGACTGGTTTCTATTGTTCCCTGAGAACTGGAAAGCTAAATAAAACCAAAGTGTTTAGATCCAGGTTACCAAAAATCAGAAATGAAAATTACAGTGCCGATGGAGCTGAATGTCTGAATAGTATTTCTTTTGTAGATTACTTCAAGGTCAGAATAATTATTTTTACCTTTAAATGCAAGGACAATTTCTTAGGTTGTATTCAATATGATAATGACAATTATCATATGACAATATGATAATAAAACATGAGTATGAATACATTTTATAAACACTGCTTACATCAAATATTCTTTTTTAAAAAACACACAAAATACTTGTAATCATTCAATTAAGCTTCTGTTTCTTTAGTTACAAAGTATGTGTTAGTACTCTAACTCATGAAAATCAAACAGGGTAACTACTAGCATAACCCCAAGTATAAATGCAGGTATGCAATACTGTGCTCTCTTTGTTTAGAGATTAAAAAAAGGAAGTCCTCATAAAAACAAAAAATGCAAAGAAACCTCATTTAAGACCCTGTTCATTTTAAGCCTAATAAATTTATCACTTATCTACCAAAGATCTGAGCATTTGTATAACTTACAAAGAAAAGATGGTTAGACTTAAAGGATAAAAATATTTGAATATTTTACATGTCCTGATACATATTATTGTTTATCAAATAAAGTTTTAAGTGATGGTTTAGGCAGCTACTAGCAATGAACAAATGTGCCCTTTCCACTCCACTCTGTTAGCATTGGTATTATACAGTTTTTTTTTTTAATACGGTTTTGATATTTACTTATTTGCCTGCTTGCTTACTGTGCTGTGTGCTTTGTGGGATCTTAGTTACTGCACCAGGGACTGAACCTGTAACTCTCGGCAGTGAAAGCATGGAGTCCTAACCACTGAACTGACAGAGAATTCCAGTATATCATTTTAGAGGGCACAATCCAGCCCATAACATCACGCATAGCAAGGAAAAGGAGATAAAGCCTTAAGCCAGTTCAGGACAGGGAGTCAGAAATGAATATTTCGCAAACATCCATAACTCGAGGAGTGCAGGGATCTTAGTCATCGTGGCTATTCTGCTGCCTGGAACAGGCCTGGCCCAGAGTTATGTGTGTGCTCATTTGTTTAAATGGACAGAGAAATAAATGGACACGGAGTGAAAAGAGACAGGAAAAGACTGAGGTAAGGTTGGAGAGAAGGGATAATTTTTAAAGCCTTGTTAATTTGAAAGTCAAAATGGTATCTTACTGTTACCCTAACAGGCAATTTTCTATTACTATTGGGGTTGAACTTTTTTCCCCAGGAATTTCACTTAGATCTACTCATTTTAAAATCATTTCTAAATGTTCTATATCTACTTACTGCAGATTTAATGTTTCCCTTATGCATTTGTTAGGGAAAAAATTCCCTGGTGGCTCAGTCGATAAAGAGTCTGCCTGCAATGCAGGAGACCCGGGTTCAATCCCTGGGTCAGGAAGATTCCCTGGAGAAGGAAATGGCAACCCACTCCAGTATTCTTGCCTGGAAAATTCCATGGATGGAGGAACCTGGTAGGCTATAGTCCATAGGTTCACAAAAAGTCAGACACGACTGAGTAACTTCACTTTATGCATTTGTATGAGCTGTGTTTATTAAAAAACAACAACAACAAAAAAACCCCTTTATCTCATTTTCTCAATCTATTTTTTAACTTTTTTGTTTTTTTTTCATTTAACATATATGGATCTTGAGAATTCCATGGCACTCCATGCTTTCACTGCCAATGGTCAGGGTTCAATCCCTGGTCAGGGAACTAAGATCCCACAAGCCATGTGGAACAGACCAAAGGAAAAAAAAGATTTTAAATTCTTATATAGCCAAATACATATCTTGCTTTTCATGTTTTATATCTTTCTTAACACTAATGTTAAGAATGTATTACCTTATAGTTCTAAAATATTGAAAATAGTTTATGGACAAAGTTATTTTTTTATAGCACAAAAGTGTGTGAAATAGCAAGCAGCCTGAAGGACCAACATTAAAATGGTAATAAATAAAACTAATATTAAATCAATTGGCTGCAATATTATTAAATGTCTATTTAAAAATTAGTGGGACTTCCGGGCCGTCCAATGGTTAAGACTGCACTTCCAATGCAGTTGATGTGGGTCTGATCCTTGGTTGGGGAACTAAGATCCCACATGCTGAAGTACAGTCAAAAATAAAAAGTAGTATTACCAATAAAACAAAACTGGAAAATGCTTTTACTATAATGTCATACCAAAAAAAAAAAATTGTGTGTTCACAGGGAAAAAAGTATTTAATTATATATATAAAAAGACAGCCACTGATTTGACAAAATTTTAGCAGCATCGAAATCATTCAGAGAGCTTGCAACACTGATTGCTGGACCCTACCATCAGCTCCTGATTCAACAGGCGGGGCCCCAAATGTGCATTTCTAACAAGTTCTCACGTGAGGTGAGACTGCTGCTTTAAGAATTACTCTGAGAATCACTGCTGCAGGACACTGAACAGAACTTCTAATAATCATTTTTGATTGGTATGTATATACATAACCTTTTCTAACTTATATATCTTACTTTTATGGGGGGAAAAAATTCTGAGGTCTCCATTAGGAAAGGAGCCACAACAACTCAACATGTATGAGGAAAAACACTGAAATCTGGTGAAAAATAAATGGCCTGAAGTTAAAGCCCTGACTTTCTAAGACTCCGTGAATATAAGCTATTTAACCATCCATGCTTTGATTCTCCTAGGAAATCTAAATCCTCACAAAAATGTCATAAAAATGAGAAACATTTTGGACTCAATGAAAGAAAACATACAATTTCAATTCATTTCAATTCAAAGTGCTGAAATGACACTGGCACTTGAAAGTGTCATGAGGTCTATGAGCTGGTAAGTCAAGTTCTAAAACAAAAGCAGAAAAAAAATAGAAAACATTTACAACAATATGACTGCCTGTATTTTAATATGGACAAATACTGGGGAAAACTACTTCCTGCTTCTCTGACTTTTCATGTCTATTCTACAGAAACATTTTTCAAACTTTTTTGATCATGACCTACAGAAAGAAATTCACTTTGTTTTAACCCAGTATCATTAAAGTGTAAATAGTAAAACTGAACAGAAAGTTTCATGGACTAGAAATATCCTTATATGTGATGCATTCTGACTTTCTATTCTATTTCATTTTTAAAACATTGCTAGTTGCAACGCATTAAACTTTACAACTACTAGTTGTTCATGGCTCAATTTTGAAAACCACTGTTTCAGATCTAAAACTGAGGAAAAGAAATAACTAAAAATCAGCCTAAACTTGGAAAGAGAAAAGGAGTATAATAGCAAGCTCTAAAACTCTTAACATCCATTTCATGTAAGAATAATTAAAATACTAAAAGCTTGCAGGAGTATATATAGCATTTTTATTTATCTCATTTAATTGGTACAATAACCTGTGAGGTAAGCAGAGTAAGAAACTACCCATTTTAAAGAAGAAAAAAGTGAGAATGCAAAGAATTGAAGGCCTTGGTTAAGTAGCCAGGCAGGAATTGCTGGGTAAACAGGGACATGTCTAGGATTAGGAGTCAGTTCTCAATACATAATTTCATGCTCTTCTACCACACATTTTAATAAGAGATCCAGAGATTACCTGAAATGCTATTGCATTTTTCAGCAGAGATTTTGTCCTAATTTCTTTTTTAGTTATAGAAACAAATCATTGCCTTGAGAAACTCAAATTTTTTCTTACTTTTTATTTTAGAAAAGACTGGGTATTTTCCTAACTGGCATCTATTTCTAAACAAGTTTATACATTCTGCATGTCAAATTATATGAACTTGCTTTAACTTCCACAAAAGCAACACAAGAGCACTGTGAATTCTAAAGACAGAGAGGGAAAGAAGAGAGAGAGAGAGAAATGGGCTTAAAGCAAAGAAGGCATTTGGAAATGTCATGAAGAACTTCATGGCAGTAAAGGGTATTTAAATAATTATAAATAATTTTCTATGGTGGGAAAAGGCTACTATTTCTCCTGAGATCTTTAGGTACATCATCTCTCTAGGAAAGTTCATTTCTAATCTTGTCACCAAAGGAAGAGACTATGAACCTACAATTGTCATAATTTTGTAAACACTTACTCTCAACAGTTTGGTGTGTATGTCTGAAATTTCACCTAACTCTGCTGCTTCTAGGTTGATCTTCATCAACTTTTCATATCTGTACAAAAACAAGTACAGAAAAATTAAATGACCATAGATTTTAAAAGATGTTTCATAAATTATATTTGACCTATTATCATAATCATTTAAGAACAGAATATTGAATGCAAAGCCTACAACAACAATTCCAAGAAAACTTGATGTCTCTGTAAAAATGAAATTTTATATATTTGTATTTATAAATGTGCAGATTAAGAGATAAACTATGAGACAACTTTACTTCAGTCTTATGCCAGGATAATTGTCAAAATACTGGATTTCTGATTTAATGGAGGTCAACAGTATATACAGGTTCAGTTATTATATTTCCTATGCAGTACAAGTAGTATAGCCTAGGAACAGGGCAGTTTAAAATATCGCTGTTTCAAAAGGCATTCTCCGGGATAAGTAAGAGGAAACTAAACAACAGTAAGTAAGAGTAAACTAAATAATAATAAGTAAGAGTCAATTAAATACTAATGTAAGAAGAATAAACTTATTAATATAGCGCTGAAGAATATGCTTTTGAACTGTGGTGTTGGACAAGACTCTTGAGAGAGTCCCTTGGACTGCAAGGAGATCCAACCAATCAATCCTAAAGGAAATCAGTCCTGAATATTCACTGGAGGGACTGATGCTGAAGCTAAAGTTCCAACACTGGCCACCTGATGCAAAGAACTGACTCCTTGGTAAAGACCCTGATAATGGGAAAGACAGAAGGCAAGAGAAGAAGGGGACAACAGAGGATGAGACGGTTGGATGGCATCACTGCTTCGAGGAACATGAGTTTCAGCAAGCTCCAGGAGTTGGCGATGGACAAGGAGGCCTGGCCTGCTGCAGTTATGGGGTTGCAAAGAGATGAACACGACTGAGCGACTGAACTGAAGAATAAACTGGAAGTAATCCCAAAATTCTAAAAATACTTTTGAAATACAGTTTTAGAGTAACTTCCTACTTCCTTTGATTACAGCTTTTATATTTCCTATGCAGAACTGTCTGCTTAGCAAGGTAAAAAATTGAAATGTTTCTATTTCAGATTCTTTTTCCTTTTCAAAGGGAAAGAGAAAATGCTACCAAAGAGATGGCATTCATTTCTTACTGAGACAACTGGATATTTCTACCCTTGTGAGGAAATGACTTAATCTAAGGTTGTCCCTTAACAGAAAGACTTGCATGGCATGCTATATCATGTTAACAATAACTAAACAAATTAAACAGAAATGGAATAATAGTCAATATTTTAACCATTACCAGTAAGACAGCAATCTACTCACACTTTCACAGTTTTTTCAATGTTCCTGATGCAGAAATCCAATGTGATCACAACTTCTGTCTTTTTGTGAACAGTTTCATTATAGTCATCTTTAACTAATTCTCTAAAAAATGATAATATTCTCATTAGTTTATCCAAGGAATTATGTATTTGCTGTTGTCTTTCACTAATTACACTGCTGTACTACCTTCTGTTCAAACAAACTTCTTAACAGTCTGGATACATTATGAAAGTCAGCTATCTTTTTATCACTGAGAGCACCTCTGTAACACTTATCCAGGGCGCAAATCATCGCCAGGTCAACAGTTTGGAAACCTAAGGCATTAAAATTACTTTAAGGAGAAAATTAACCTTCAACCACACAAATAAGCTGAACAGCAGTACATTTTATACCACCAGAATTAATTTTTACTGTTCACAGCAGACTACTGATTGATACTTTAAATCAGTTAATATGATCTCTAAGGAAACATATAATGAGATAGTGTATAATATAACTGAAGAGCTTTTGATCTGTATCAAGTCAGTAAACTAAGGCCTGATGCTTGTTTCTGCTAAAAAGAGTATCTACATTTTTAAAGTTTGTATAAACAAAATGAAAACAAAGAGAACTTGTGGTCCACAAAGTCTAAAATATTTACTATTTGAAAAAATTTGCCAACAGTGGTCTACATGAAAACTGTTTTCTTATGACTTACTCAACTAAAAACTAATAAGTAAAGAAAAGCTTCATAGAGCTGTGACTTGGAGAGAAAAGGGCAAGAGAAAACAAGAGCTGTTAGTAGCAATGCTATGATACTGAATGAAGTCAACATTTAGATTTTTCCAGAAACCACTTAGTAAAAATAAACAGGCTTCTTAATGGAAAGAGAAAAGCATAGGTTTACAAATTGGCTATCTGTGGCGCAGATGGTAAAGCATCTACTTACAATGTGGGAGACCCGGGTTTGACCCCTGGGTCGGGAAGACCCCCTGGACTTCAACCCACTCCAGTACTCTTGCTTGGAAAATCCCATGGATGGAGGAGCCTGGTAGGCTACAGTCCATGGGGTTGCAAAGAGTCAGACATGACTGAGCTACTTCACTCACTTTATGTGAACACATAAAAAATATTAGAAGCATAAATGACAGGTTTAAGATAAAGGTGACAGAAAAAAAAAGAGCCTTATACTTTTTTCTTTTTAGAAAAAGCAGCAGAACAAGAATGATGAAACGCTTCATGTATGTTTTTGTGAGAAGGGAAGGACAGGTGTGAGGTGGGTATACATAAACTGTCACAAGCATTAAAACCCAAGAGCACCATGAGTCCATTATTATGTGTCTATAAAATCCAAAAGCTTCAAATGACGTTGTCTAGAACTAGAGGCATGATTTTTAAGAGACCGTTCATTCTCCACTTCTGTGAGGACATATATACTCATCCACAAAACATTTCTTAGGGTCATGGGACCATGGCAGTGAAAGCATGAATCCTAACTAGTGGACCCTGGGGAAGTCCCATTGTCTCCTGATTTGTTTTAAAATTTAAAATTTAATTTAAAAAAAATTTTAAATTCAGATACTATTTGTCCTGTCTTATATTTTGTAGGAATAAAATTAAAGAAAAAAAAAGCTGCTAAGTATTTTGAAAACTAAATGTGAAACAAATATACTACAGTAAAAATCACCCACGTGACCCTACCTAGTCTGAAGAGGTAAAGCACCCATGAAGAGATGATTAGTTATTTAGTGAGGCCTATGTGAAGATCAATTTTCAAATTTCAATCCATTACTTACATCAACCATCGTATCCCCTTTCGCATTAATTCCTGATAAAGCAGCAAGGTACTGGCAATTCTACAGGCATAACACACAACTCCTGTCATTGCCTAATGAAATACAAAGTGTTAATATTTGGTGCTAAATTGTGGTATAGGGTAAGAAAAACTTTCACATAAAAATTTTCAAACATGCCTATTTTTATCACTGAAAACAGGATAAGCTACTAGTTCCTAAAAGCTAAGGACAGATATAACTGCAATAAACATTTCATCCTTAATATAATAATGGTAAACATGCACTGTCTTAATGGAGAACATTTTCTTGTGAGTTCAAGAAAGATATAAAGAAGAGAGAACATGAAACAATTTGTAATGGATAACAATCTAAATGAATAATTTCTTAAGCTATACAGGTGTATATAAAGATACACTTTTTATTGCTCCCACTATTGATAATTTTAATTCAGATGTTTAAATAGTAATTTAATTAAATACTAACCTTAGCCATGCTGGCATCCCCATCTAAATCATAACGTGGATGTACTTTAGGGAGGGAAACTGAAATATGAAATAAAATAGTTAAAATCAGAAATAAAAAATGCATTATTTTATCCTTTATACATCAACCTCCAAATTAAACATTAACCTCTAAATTACCTTTAAATTAAACATTAGTGATAAAACTCTTTAATGTTCTTTCCCTGGTTAAAAAAAACTCATTCCTTAACAAATTACTACCTACACTATTTCTAAGGAGTTTCACATCTTTTTCTTAAATATATTCCAACATAACAAGTTCAATGCTTTTCTTTAAATCTAAATCAAATCCCAAAGGTCTAAATAGAAATGTAAACATCCAGGCAATTTTTTTTCACCATCAGAATTAATAATTTAAAAGATCCCAAAATACAGATCTAATTATTCTTAGATTCCAAAGCCTGGCAAAGGGTCCTATTCACCCTGGAGACAATAGACATTTGTTGCAATTTATGATACAAAAGGTTATTCTGAGGATTAGTAAAATACTAAAAGCAGAGAGCTACAGTAAAACATGTATGACAAAGCATTTTACCATTTTATAAACAAAATATTTAATGTCAAATCTTGTTACTGATGAGGATTTTAAATTTTACTACTACTCTCATTCAATTAACTTACAAATTTTAACATTTATAAAAGTTCCACATCAATGTCATCATTAATCAACTTTATGAAGATGACAATCATTTTTATAGTTTTTTCCCCTTTGGCTGCGCTGTGTGTCTTGTGGGATCTTATTTCCCCAACCAGAGACAGAATCCAGGCCCTCAGCAATAAGAGTGTGGAGTTGTAACCACTAGACCACCAGGGAATTCCCAGTTTATTGTTGTTTTTTAACAACAATAAAAAATAAGAACAATAAGAAAAATCCCAACTTAAAAAAAAAAAGAAAAACCCCAGCTTACTTTTTTCATATGTCAATCCTATGGTGCTCAGAGGGTCCTGGCTGACTACAAAGATAGGGTTTTCCTCAGAAGTTTTAGGGAAATGCTGTGCTAGTCTTCCAGGTTCTAGAACTAAACGTCGTCCTTCATATATAAGCTCTTGATTTGAAGAAATAATTTTGGTTTGTTTATACACCAGTTCATGAAATACAGTAGCACTGTGTGAGAAAAATCGAAAAGGACAACATAATTGGGATAAAATGAGAGGTAAAATCTTTTTTTTTAAACCAGTGCCATGACATCCATTTCTCAGTAAAACTTTAGATCATGTCCAGTCCACAGAAACGCTTTGTTGATGTGGACACTATAAAGTCTACTAAACTGAAAATTCCACATAGTCTGTTGATATGGCAGTCAATTCCAAGACATTTTTATGTCTGGACACCTATATTGGATATGTGCAATTCACAGGAGTCTTAATATTTCAATAAATGGGAGCCAATACAGAAGACAGTTTAAGGCCACTGATTGGAGTCAGAATAGCTGGGTTCAAATTTCAGTTTGTTTACTTTTCACTTACTCACTACCTTAAACTACTTAACTTCTCTGTGCTGTGTTTCCTTATCTACAGAATGGGAATAACAGTCCTCACCTCACAGAACTGTCGTGAGGACTAAATGACTTAAATATATAAAGAATTGAGAATATCACTTACAACATGAGTATATAACATGTGTTAAATAAGCTAATAAAATCAGGTATTTTCAAAATGATGTTTTTGGGGAAAAGGCAGATTTTCCCTAAAGAAATCCATGAAAAAAAGAAACAAACCAACATTCCAGCAGCAATGTTGTGATTTTTCTCTGCCAAAAGTCTCTGCTGTGATTTCTGGCTTGGGCTCAGGTGGGCTTTCTATGTACACATATACTTTTACAATGAAATAGTGGCCAACACCTAAGTTACATTTCTATTCAGGCTATTAACCACCAAAATACAGATGATGATTAATGTATTTTAGACAGCATATTAAAAAGCAGAGACATTACTTTGCCAACAAAGGTCTGCCTAGTCAAGGCTATGGTTTTTCCAGTGGTCATGTATGGATGTGAGTGCTGGACTCTAAAGAAAGCTGAGCGCCAAAGAATTGATGCTTTTGAAGTGTGGTGTTGGAGAAGACTCGAGAGTCCCTTGGACTGCAAGGAGATCCAACCAGTCCATCCCAAAGGAGATCAGTCCTGGGTGTTCATTGGAAGCACTGATGTTGAAGCTGAAACTCCAATTACTCTGGCCACCTGATGCAAAGAACTGACTCATCTGAAAAGACCCTGATGCTGGAAAAGATTGAAGGCAGGAGGAGAAGGGGACGGTAAAGGATGAGGTGGTTGGATGGCATCACCGACTCAATGGACATGAGTTTGGGTAAACTCTAGGAGCTGGTGATGGACAGGGAGGCCTGGCGTGCGGTGGTCCATGGGGTTGCAAACAGTCAGATACGACTGAGCGACTAAACGGAACTGAACCTAATGTTATATGAATATTATTTTATTCATTCTATTTATATTTTCAATGTTTATAATATTGTAATGTTAGTTGGTGTTAGTCACTTAGTTGTGTCTGACTCTTTGCAACCCCATAGACTACAGACCGCCAGGCTTCTCTGTCTATGAAATTCTCCAGGCAAGAATACTGGAGTGGGTAGCCACTGCCTTCTCCAGGGGATCTTCCTGACCCAGGGATCAAACCCGGGTCTCCTGCACTGCAGGCAGATTCTTTACCATATGAACCACCAGGGAAGCGCCTTATTGGATACAGATATTAGACAAAATGTCAAAAGTATTATTCCATCTAATTGATTTTATTTGTTAATAAATAACCACTGAAAGTCTCTTTTTTAATTTCATGAGGCATCAAAACTGCTACCTGAGTCTTGTTAAAACAGAAACTAAGGCATGTAGAATGGGTGTAATGCTTTCCTCTTTCATTAAAAAAAAAAAAAAATTTTATTTTGAGATCACTGTAGGTTCATGTGCAGTTGAAAGAAATTGTATAGACACTAAATAGTCTTTACTCAGTTTCCCCCCAATGGTAACATCTTGCGTAAGTATAGTACACTATACAATCAGGACCTTGATACTGACATAATCCACTTATCTTATTTAGATTTCCCTAGTTCCACATGTTAAGGGTGTGTGTGATTTAGTTGTACCTAGTTTTATCATATGGATAGATTTTTATCACATAGGTATAATCTATTTTTTTAAGATAAAAGGAACAGGTCTTTCCCCAGCACTCAAGGGCTTTAGGCCACATATGCAAATAATCACATGAACTATCTTTAAGACTTATGCTTTAATATTTTTAAGTGACAGGACAATACTCTTAATAAAACCTGGCTCATTTATTAAAAATGCTAATTGTAGTTATGTGGTTATGTAATTTGAGAGAAGGCACATAAAGGAAAATAGTCCTGTAAAATTTGTAGTTTAAGAACAAGTTAATTTACCTGTAAATTTTAGAAAATTAATCCTTTTACTTCAAAGATAAGTGAAAAGTAATTTACTAAGCACTCAAACATTTTCTAACACTTTCTACCCAGAAATGGGTACATCTGATGAAGCTGAATTATCTTTTCTATTTCTTCTCCTGATTTGTGAAGATATGTAACTATTATATAACACAATATCATGATATAAGAAAAAATATAAAGAGGTACTTACGTATTATAGCCATGAATATAAATTTTATGAGCTGTCATTTGTTGTAGTGAAAAAACATGAACTATCATCCGGTGAAGTATATCACTAGTTTCTGCAAAAAACTGGTCAAAACCCCAACACTTTTCCTGATCTGCCTCAAGGATGTTTGCAAGAACAGGAGTAAGTAGAACTTGAAGACCCCTAAAATAGTATTGAAAAGAGTTACATGAAGAGTGAATGTGTTACATTCTAAGTACAAAATCATAACCTTTACCAACAAATCAAAGGAACTGCTATTACTATTATCAGATAAGATTAATTTAAAATTGCAAAAAATCTGCCAACTTTTTGGAAAGCCAGGTAACCTTGATTTAATATTACTTGTCAATGAACCAGGGCTTATGGTATTTTTATGTTGGCTTTTACATTTTATTTTCTTTGATTCTCTCCTTCCCAAGTTTCCTCACTTTTCCAAACATCCTAACATTGTATATCCATGGCTATCCAGGTGAGATCAGTTGACTGGAACCCTGTGGTCATTGAGGATAATGGTTTAACTTCAGGGTCACTAATGTCCTTTTAACATGTCACTCCAACACCTAATTTTTTATGCTGAATTCATATACCTTTTGTAGCATACTTCTTCAAGAAGGAAAATCACTATAATCATTTAGCAATCAATTAATGCCAATTAAACTAGGAATAATCTTTGACTCTGTTAGTCGCTTAGTCTTGTCCGACTCTGATCCCATGGATTATAGCCCGCTAGGCTCCTCTGTCCATAGAATTCTCCAGGCAAGAATACTGGAGTGGGTTGCCATTTCCTTCTCCAGAGGATCTTCCTGACCCAGGGACTGAACCTGGGATCTCTTGCATTGCAAGTAGATGCTTTACCGTCTGAGCTACTAGGGAAGCCCCCAATCTTTGACTAATAAACTTAAATATTAAAAAAAAAAATGAATGGAAGGAACTTAATTCTCATGCACTACCTGAATTTTAAAATATGTTTAAATAGACTCAATTATGGAATTTCAAGTCATCTTAAAAATATATTCTTGACTACATGGCAGACACTGAAATAACTGTTAACAGTTTTTAAGGTATGTGTACACAGCATGTGCATGCTCAGTCGTGTCTGACTCTTTGCGACTCCACAGACTGTAGCCCACCAGACTCTGTCCATGGAATTTTCCAGGCAAGAATACTCAAGTGGGTTGCCATTTCCTTCTCTGGGGAATTTCTCTGACCCAGGAACCAAACCCAGGTCTCTTGCTGTATTTCCTGCATTGCAGGTGGATTCTTCACTGCTGAGCCACCAGGGAAGCCCCCCAAGCCTTGATGACAATCTGAATCTGAGGATTTGGTGGAGCTCTGAGTTACACACACACATAAACTCTGAATTACAACGTCAACCCATTTTTCACTTATATCTGTCTTCACTCACAGCTGAGTTAGGTTTGTCTCGTTGGCTATCTAGTCTTGACTAATTAATACATATGAGAAAGAAGATGGTTATCTTTTTTCTGTAGTTCTTGCATTTTTGGTAGTTGTTTTCATTGTTGATTGTTAGTATTTAAAGTCCTTAGTATTTAAAAAATCATATAACATACTTTGATACCTAAGCAATTTTTATAAAAAAATTTATAACTTAAGTGTACTAAAGAATAATCAGACAGATAAGGCCTGCTGCCCTCCGGAAATATGCAATCTACAGTTCAGACGGACAAAACGCCGTGTGAGTGTCGGCAATGCAGTTAGACACTAAACAGCAAGTGCTCATTTCCTGATCCTTTTAGATTTTATCAGTTTTGCCCAAGAGTTCCCAAATGGGTACTTTTCTAAATCAAAATTTTACAAAGATCACTATTATAACATTGAATTTCTGCTCTCCAATAAAGTGACTTTCTTTTGGTAATTCTAGTTGCATGACACAATTTAGTTTTGGAGACTTTTAACACACAAAAATGAAATTGTCAGGCCAGTTGTTTTCAAAAATCATTTCGGCACGGGTTTAAATGAGTTTTCACAGATATTAATACATAAAATGACAGGACATATTTCATTAACTTGTATATGTATTATATATGTACAGTCTAAATAAATATTTTGAATAAACATATTTATTTACTTTTATGTTGAAAGTAATACAAAAAGCACCCACAGATTTTAAAAGGCGTTAAACCAATAAAACATAACCTATGTATGTTCACTTGTGGATTATACAATCCCCACACTCAAGAAAAGTGGAAAGTAATTCGGTAATTACAAATTCTAAATACTGATGATTGCCTTGGCTTTACTTCCAGAGTAAAATCTAAAATAATTTACTCTCAAATTAGCACAACTTTGTAAATCAAATATATGTCAATAAAAAAAGATATACAACAGAAAAAAATTTACTCTCTACTTTTAATTTCCTTTACCTTAAATCTCTCTCTGTGATAACAGGATTCATGTATAATTTGAGTTCTGGCTGCTATATTAAGACCCATATGAACTTTTGAAATGCTGGAAAAAGCAGTAGAAAACTGTTATTTCTCACCTTTTGAATAATATGATCACTTTTTGAAAATGAGGGAAATATTAGACTTCTCCAATGTTTATTTCTTAGAACTCTAGTTATTCCTACCTGTACCACTACTTGAGCTCTGCTATGATGAAGGTCAGCACAGGACACACCAAAGGCCCAAGTTGGAAGCCCACATTGGACACGACTCTAAGACAAGCGACTAGCAATCTGAAGAATGTATGTATGCTCTAAAGAGATCTGGCAAAACTATTTACATAGACCCAAATCAATCTTTACATTGCCACAAAGACGAAAATTACAAATCAAGGCATGCTTTAATAACACTTACTTAAAAATTAAGAACAAAACTACACTTAAGTATTGGTGACTTTAATCAACAAAGGTCCCGTAAATTCATGGCTAATTCATTTCAATGTATGACAAAAACCACTGCAATGTTGTAATTAGCCTCCAACTAATAAAAATAAATGGAAAAAAACCAAACAAACAAAGGTCCCAACACCAAAAAGAACAGGGTACATACGCTATACTTACCGAGAAAGACTACAAGAAACAGGCATGTCTCCACTCCAGTCAATTGGTCCATTTTCCGCTTTCTGTACTCCAGATATTGCACCAGAAGGCTTTCCAGTAATTATTTTATACCTTTGGAGGAATAAAAGTAGATTAAAATAAGCAGTTTGTTACTGCATATCCTATCAAAGGGCTCTGCAAAAATATTTCCTCAGTTGCACCTACAATTATCTACTATACAAAACTTTGTGACTGATGTTCACAGGATCCATAAAACAATCAAAATACTCTGAATCTGACTGACTGAAGTAGAATTGTGGCTATACGATTATTTTACATAGGCCATAATTAATTTTCATTTGGGCTCTCAGACTGCCATATAACAGCATCTTGATGTCCACAACAAAAATATTCATTTTTCCATCTGAAAAAATTGAGCAAACACAAAAAAAGTTATGTTACAGAATGTCTCTAGACCATGAAAAAAGCATCTAATCACTCTTACCCACATTATCCAAAGGCACAGTCAACTGGACCATGAAATTACTATAGAATGAACAACAGCTTTCTTTGAAAAAAAAAAAGATAAAACTATACATAGCAGAGTATCAGAAAGTTTTAGCATATTGAGAAAATATATATACATAACAGGATTAGATGCGTGTACCAAAATTAAAAGCCAAACTTAATCTGTTTCTTGATGATGGTGATAAAAATAAAGATGAATTCAAGAAAGAGATGAATGAAGAAGTGAAAAAATGCTAATAGTGATGGAGGCGGGGCAATGAAAGCAGCCTTACAAGTGCCAGCCCTTTCTAAAACAAAACCTGAAATTAGGAGAGAAATAAGAGGTTCATGACTTCAAGATGAAAATGTAAATCATAACACATGAGAATCTTATATAAGTTTATAGATAGTATTTCTGACATAATTTTTTGATTTGTTTAATGGCTACACAAATGTGCTCTGAGAAGATTAACAAACTCTTTAAAAAAGTAAAAGAAACCAGAACAGCTGATCTGAGCTGCTTGCTGCTTCTTCAGTAGAGGCAGCCAGGATGTGTGCACTAAGAGATTTTTCAAAGAAGGAAATTAATGTGAAATATAAGTTGCATTCATGTGAGAAGGATCAGATTGTGGAGAAATAAGTAGAAATATGTGACATTAATGCAAGAAGAGAAGTGAATAGAATGAATGGCAGAATTCTTAATTAAGGTAATGCTTATAAACTTGAAAAAACTTATTTTGTTAAGATACATATCTAAATACATTTATTAACATGTAAATAAGATTCTGAGGGATCAATACTCCTATAATGTGAGAGGAATACATCACTCAATAGTCAAGCAAAACAATCCTTATTATTTCTTTTGTTTTTTTAGTTCTACCACTTTATTGCTACCAACCCATCTCCCTCCACCCTCATGCACACATGCTCAGTCATGTAACCCCATAGACTGCAATCCACCAGGCTCCTCTGTCCATGGACTTTCCCAGGCAAGAATACTGGAGTGGGTTGCCATTTCCTTCTCCATCCTTATTATTTCTTAAAGTGCTTCTGAACATTCATTAGCATCAATGTTCATAAAAAGTTTAGTTTCTGTGCAAATAAAGAAAAAAATTCTTCTAATGGTATTATCTGCCTACATGGTGGGCAGATAAAAACATCAGGTATTCCCAGTTGTTTATGAGTCATGTTTCCTTTATTACAGAGCACCACACTTTATTTGACCCATTCTTAGTGCAGCAATACATGCTGACACTGCTTTAAAACGCCTATGACAGCAAAGCATGATTAACTGTAGGCACACTTTATGTTTAATGAGGAAAGACAGTAACTGACTCTAAGCCTTCATTAATGAAGAGATTTTATAAAAAGGACACTGTTGTAAAGTGGGTTCAAGATGATGCTATACCAAAATCAGTACACTAATGGATAACTTCTTCCCACATATATGTATGCTCTCCTTGCTGGAAAACATTTAGATACTCAGATTTTAGCAAAAGTCATGGTATCAGCTGAACTAGTTTTACCTCCTCAAACAAACAAAAGGAAAAATATGCTTCTCCTAACTTTCTGAGATAAAAGATTGTATGTTTACATTTGTGATTATTACTTATAAAGTGTTAGTCAGTCATGTCCGACTCTTTGTGACCCCATGGACTGTAGCCCACCAGACTCCCCTGTCCATGGAATTTTTCAGGCAAGAACACTGGAGTGGGTGGCCATTTCCTCCTCCAGGGAATTTTCCCCACCCAGGGAATGAATCTGGGTCTCCTCATTGCAGGCAGATCCTTTACCATCTGAGCCACCAGGGAAGCCCCACTTATAAAAGGCGGGGTCAAAAGATCTGAGATCTAAAAAAGCAGTTGAACACATTAAGGCTGTCAAGTGAGTTACCTCACTGAACTGAACAACATTCATAACCTCACCTTATAGTTTTATGTGTACAGAGGTTGGATATTTCCCATGAGGCAAGGTCAACCACTAATTTCTTTCAAAATAGAAAGATGTGCGGCCAAGGTACAGATGAGTTTTATAATAAATTTCACATCTAACAATCCATCCTTTTTTTCTTCCATTATTTGGTTTATAACAGTGACTTTATACATAGTAATTATTTCCTAGTAACTATGGCAGTTGCATAAATGTATAATGTACTAGTAAAATGCATTCAGCAAAATGTTTTCAACTGAAACAGCAACACTAGAAAAATATTACATTAAACATTATTTTTGAAATGGTTAAAGAAATCAGGTCAGTTCATATTTCTTTTTGATCCACTAATGGTTCTATTACTTCATGAAAGTGCTTTTTTATTTTTTTAGTTATATGGAAGGACAAAACTAATAAACACACAAAAAGAACTAAATAGTGCTGAAACAAATTTCAGAAGGCACAATATTTTTAATATGGACCAGAGACTGGATGGACCAAATTTGGATGCCATTTATACTTTGTACATAAGATAGTTAAACATGGTATGGAACATTATCTCTATGCATTTTTATAAGGTTGTACTCTTACTAAAAAATCAAATAGTTTAAAATATCAGAAATGATGGCTAAATCAATATTCAGTAGTGTACCTCTCTAACATGATGAAATAAAGTAAGATAGATACACATTTTAAAAAATTATTTCTAATTTTAGATGGAGAAATCACTTACATCACTTCCTTATTCCTACGCGGCCCTTCAAATGGTCTAAATGGCAGTGATCCAGTAGCTGCGTGGTAAAATGTTACCCCAATGCTCCAAAGATCCACAGTTGCTCCATATTTCTTCTGATGATCTTTTCTTAGCACTGCTCTCTCATACATATCAGGATGCTTTAAAAAGAAAAGATAAAGCTACTAACTTGCATTCTATGAAATACATTACACAAAAATGTGTATTCAGTAATGTCTGGAAATTCTATTTTCCTAATAATTTTACTTTTCCAATCTGAAAAGACCATTTCATATCTTCCTCTCTCTCCTCAAACCTCCAACACCACCTCCTTCGACCCTCAGTTTTGATGACCTCACTTCATACTACAATGAGAAAATGGAAGCAGAGATTAACTCTCCTTTATATCTTTTACCAAAAGCCAACCTACCTGAATCTGTGTTCAGAACCAGTTACAATGGGACGGCTCTTATCAAAGGCTTAACTTTTCCACCTGTGCTGTACCAAGTTGCTTCAGTTGTGTCTCTTTGCACTCCCATGGACTGTAGACCACCAGGTTCCTCTCTGCATGGGATTCTCCAGTCAAGAATACTGGAGTGGGTTGCCATTTCCTTCTCCAGGGGATCTTCCCGATCCAGGGATTAAACCTGCTTCTCTTATGTCTCTTGCACCGGCAGGTGGGTTCTCTACCACTAGCACCACATCTGTGCTGTGGGTCCCATCATATCATCTCACCAATTCTAGAAATCATTTCCTGAAACTACCCTTTTAATTTTATGCATCATTTCCCTCCTTTCTATTAGCTCATTTCTTTCAGCTTACACACATGCTTTCATATCTCCCATTAAAAAAGCCCCTAAATTGACCTTACAATCTCTTTGACCTATCATTCAATTTTCTGCTTCCTTCCATAGCAAAACTCAAAACAGCCATCCACACTTAACAACTGCCTTATTTTTTCATCTCCCATTCAGGCCTATGGCATTAAGTGTTACCTATATCCTTTAACTTTCCAAACCATTTCTTGTCCTGAGTTCTGGATTCATATAGCCTACTGTTTTCTCAAATGTCTAACAGGTAGCTTAAACTTAAGGTATCAAAAACAGACTCCTGGTCTTCTGACTCAAACCTGTTTCCTTCTAATCTTTACCCTTTAAGTAAATGGTTCCATCATCTAACCAGTTGCTCATACCCAAAACTTATCAGGCAGCCTCAATTCCTTTCCCTCATACCTCACATGCAAGCCATGTGAGCAAGTCATAAGGGCTCTGAGATGAAAACTAGTTTTCTAGAATGAACTCGGAGGACTAGCCTGACTGGGTGTGTTGGAGGATACAGCAACTCAGCTAAGTAGCTGGTCTGATGCTCACCACATGGTCCGTAAGCACAGAAGACACTACCATACAGTTGCGAAGAACAGATGGAATTTATAGGGCATGGCTTAGGAGCTTACAGATCCAGACAGAGATTCTTATGGACATTAAGCTCTGCAAAGGACAGCAGGGGTCATACATGCTTAGCCTCCATGACACTGTCTTTATGTAAATTACGTGCTTTAACACCAAGGTTTTTGGTAGATAAACCTATAAGAGTGTACTCTGGACCAGAGCAGAGTCATCTCCCAAATGATCCCAAACTAAAACAATGCCTTATGACACTGTGGTATACGGCAGTGGCCCAACAGACTGGGAACCAACACAGATAACAGTGCTGGGAGGGTGTCTCTACTGTAAATGATGCAGTTTATGAATTCAGCTCTCAAAGGGTCACAAGCTCTGGATTATTTTGGGGGGGTGGTGGATGGGACTTTTTTGGGAAATACATTTTAATGAGGAATTAGAAGAGGTGACAAGCCTGAGGGGCTTAAGACGTATGTCCAAACATGGCTACCAGATGCACAGGGTCTGAGTGGTTTTGCGGATTCTGTGGCATAGTACGTAAGGTATTATTGTCTAAAGAAGCATGAGCCAGACCTCTGTCCTAGCAGAAGGTTCTTTATCAATGGCGCTGTGAAGAGGCCAAGAGTACCTGGACATGCCTGATATCTTCAAAGAACATGAGGCTGCCAACCTGGGAAGAGCAGATACAACGATTCTAGAAGGAGACAAAGCAGGACCTCCTCAAAAGGTGCACTAACATACCTCCTAAATAGTACAGCTGGAAGGCCTTCCCTAGGCTGAGAATGATTAGCTGAGAATGGCCTGATGCATGCTGGTCTGACATATCTGGGCCCACAGGCTCTCTCCTGAACGTGCTACTTATATTTGCATAGGGATTAGTATTACTGCGCCCGGGCCCCTGCATCTGGGACAGGAGCATAAGGACAAACCTACTGTAAGTTCTCAGGTTAAATTGGGTTGGCCAAAATGTTCGTTTGAGTTTTCCTGCACTATTTTATGGAAAAACCCGAATGAACTTTTTGGGTGATTCATATTAAGAAAGCCATCATATTAAAAACAGAAGAAGAAAAAATGCTGGTGCTTCCTTTGGTCTTCAACACATAAAAAGGAGAAGATTCAACATCTGGTCCGGGAATTCCAAAATGAGGAAAGTTTTCATTTAAATACAGAAATATTTCTAGACTGCTGAGTTTCATAACTGCTGGTGTAATTTATTAGAAAACAGAGTTGGGAATAACCTGAAATAGGAAAACAGACTACAGTAGTAAAATTTCAGCCAAGAGAACAGCATGGACTTGGAAGTTTATTTATTTAATGTTGTGTTCTTTCCATTTTACAAGTCTGTTAGTGGCAGAGGCTAAATTGTGGTCTTCGGACACTATGAGAAAGCTGACAGTTGGTAAGAGGGATCACCCTCACAAAGGCTAGTATGGTACTGCCATTGTTTCTTTCGATCACCACGGTCATTGGGAAGGGCTACTGGGATTTAGTGGGCAGAGACCAGAGATGAGAGACATCCTGGTGAACATGAAACAGCTCTGAAAAACAAGCTTCTGACTTCCTGCATGACTTTTAAATATCCTGCCAGATATTTGTGCACCTAAGAAGTCTGTTTATAATGATCTCACTTCATTTTATATGTAAACAGTGTATTTTTGAATATAAAGTAAACAGTATTTTTGTAGCTATAGGAATGCAGTATACATAAATCTACTTTGTTAAGTTAGAAACTTTATCAAGAATTCTTCAGTGCTTTGGAAATTGATGTCAGTAACAACACAAGACTTATGATATATGACTCACCAATTCAATATACAGGTTATCACTGCATGTGCACTGGAGGTAACATTATACACAGGTACAGCATCTAATTATTTCAGTTGTTTGCTAGTGAAATTGGTAGTAAACTTTTGCCAGTAAACTTTTACATATTAAACATCTATGATTTTATTATATTTTCCTTTATATTATCATTAAGATACTATGCTCTTCCTTTAATTAGGTATACTGGTTGATTATATTATCTAAGAATTCCATTTCAAGATACTGAAAAGCATATTGTAAAACATTTATTATTAACAGGGGGTGATCATACAGGGTAGAAACCACTAGTCCGTATGCTCTGGTTGGCTTCTGCTTACTTCTCCAATTCTTATCACCTGCTTTTTCATTCACTAAGTCCAACTATTCTGTCATCCTTTCTGTTTCTCAAACATCTAAGGTCATTTCAGTTTTTAGGCCTTTGTTCAGTTCAGTCGCTCAGTTGTGTCCGACTCTTTGCGACCCCGTGAACCACAGCACGCCAGGCCTCCCTGTCCATCACCAACTCCTGGAGTTTACTCAAACTCATGTCCACTGAGTCAATGATGCCATCCAACCATCTCATCCTCTGTCGTCCCCTGCTCCTCCTGCCCCCAAGCTTTCCTTTGTAGTTGCTTGTAATGCTGCTCTCCCCCAAAATCTCTGCATGACTTGCTTGTTTTCATCATTAAAGTATCAGTTGACTTAAGAGTGAAAGGAAGCTTTCCCTAGCTATCTTTCTTCTGCTTTGGTACCTTATTGTCTCTCCAACACTTTAATTATCTGAATTTATCTTATTTACTTGTCTACTGTCCTCACTAGATTGAGGGTTCCATAGGAGCAGAAATCATGTATTTCTGGTACACCAAAGAAGTCTGAATTCCCACAACAATGCTTGGTACATAAATAGCTGTTGGATGAATATAACCCGTTTTTAGGTGTGTGTGGTTTTTTTTTGGCCACACTGCACAGCAGGATCTTAATTCCCCGACTAGGGACTAAATCTGTGCCCCCACACTCTAAGTGTGAAGTCTTAACCCCTGGACTGTCAGAGAAGTCCCCATTTTTAAGTACTCTTAATAAAAGATTATCCAAATACAACTGCAGATTTATTAGTGGTTTCATATTGATAGAACAAGTTAAGATACCTTAATTCATGCCAGGGTTAGAATAATCTGAATAAAGCTATAGGGGCACCTTGACTTCATTCAAATTATAAAATTACAACCGCAGAATCCAACTGGAAAAAAAGTCACAGAATCTAAGACTTTTAAAATAAAACTCAAGAGCATTAACCAATCAGTGACAGCTATATATTATAAACTTTCTGATTACATGTTAAATGTACTTTTTTTAAGTGCCTTTCTTAAGTGTTTCAAATGTTTACTAACTTCACACAAACACATCTACATAAACTGTTTCAAAAACTGTTTCAACCACGGAGCTTTTCTAGTTTTCTAGTATTTCAAGTTAGATCTTTTAGAGGCATTTCATTTTTTGTGTGTGTTTCTAACAATGGTTCTTTTCATCTTTCAGTAACCAGCCTCCCTGAAGAGAGTCTTCTGCTTCAGAATTATAATGAAGTCTGCTCTACAGGGAACAGTATTATAACAAGCTTGTAAATATATTAACTGCTCTGATCCAAATAAGGAAGCCTTTACTAGCTAGATGCTTCTGGAGTGTACAGATAGTTCTTTCTTTTAACAAAGATGTATAACATTAGTAAAATTATTTAAGAGTATTATAAAACTTACAAGAATTTTTTTTAAAGCAACACCCTTAGAAACCAGTATCTAATTCCACATTACATACCATATTCATTAGAATAGAAAATTTAATTTTTGCCATAAGAGTTAAGACATTTTATAGAGTGATCTGGTTGATCAACTACCCATATTTATAATATATCCAGCTTCTTAAAATAAAACTATTAGTGATGCATGACTTACCAAATATTCTTCTGTGCCATACAGAGAAACAAACTGCTCATCATCTTCTAATTCTCTAGCTGCACCAAAATCTGTGAGTTTGTACACAGACTGTCCGTCTTCCCCTATCACACGCATGATATTTCCTGGCTTGATATCACGGTGAACTATGCCATTCTCTCGGAGATGATTCATTCCACCCACTTCAACAATAAATATAAAACAAAGGAAATCATAAGTAGCTATGTGTGTGTGCATCAGAGTCACTAATGAACATTAATTCATTCTTATTCACTCAATGTAAGTTTTTACATAAGTTGGTCCAAAGTCATTTTAATCAAAGAATAGATTATACTTAGATTTTGTATTTCATGCTTGAGTAATGAGAACTTTTAGAAGGACAGGGATCAATACGGTCTAAGGAAGAGTCTCTCTTAAATACTGTCAAGAAAATGGAACACAATGATCTTAAGCCTATGACTTCCTGAATTACTTTTTGTTATATACCTGTGGGCCATCTACCTAAACCCAAGAATACAGATTCCCAAGAAAAATAATCTTTCACCATAATTTAAATTTTTACTTTGGGGAAAAAATTCCACAAAATAGTAAACTGGACTCAATACATAATATGGTAAAAAAAAAAAAAATTAATAGCAATTGCTGAAATTAAGCTGTTTGGGCTAACTGACATGCAGTGTCAAAGAACGATAGTCTGAACCATTTGTGTGACAGCTGATAGATGAATGTCCAAGCATGACATATAAAAATAAGTTTAAAGATATCAGCATTCAATTATGGAAACTCAGGACTACCAGTATACTTAGGAAGGGATCAATTATCTACCTCTTCTATTTGACTTAGTAGGCTGTAGCATATATGGCTTCTCTTTCATTTTACCCTCACCTATGTAGTCTCTACTGCTTCCAGTATCAATTTCAAGAATTCCCACTAACATCACATTTTGTAACACTGGGCTTTTCCTGTTCCTCAAATATTGATTCATTTCTTTCCAAGAAGATATTATTCCTTGTGACTGCCATATTCTTTTTTTTTAATAACAGGTTTACTGAGATAAAATTTACATATCATAAAACTCATTTTTTAAAGTATACAATTCAGTAGATTTTAGTACAGACCACAGAGCATACTAACCATCACCACCAATTTCAGAACATTTCCATCACACGAAAAGAAGCCCTGTGCTATTAGCAGTCACTCCCTGGCTCCACTCTCCTCTCAGGGCCTTGACCACTATCACTCTGCTTTCTGTCTCTAGGGGTCTGCCTACTCTGAGCGTTTCACATAGATGAAATCATACAAATATCGTTGCCTTTTGTGTCTGGTGTTTTTCACTGAGTATAATTTTTCAAGGTGCATCCATGTTACAGCATGTACCACTACTTCATTCTTGTTACAAACAAGTAACACTCCACTGTATGTACCCCACTTATCTATTCACCAGCTGGTGAATACTGGGCTTCCTTTTGTGTTGTTGCTATTATTATAAATATTGGTATACAAGTTTTTGTGTGGAAATATTTTAAATTCTTTTAGATAAACACCTAGTAATGGAATTGATAAGTCATATAGTAATTGTTTAATTTTTTGAAGAACTGTCAGTCTACTGTACAAAGTGCCTGCACTTTTTTTTTTACAGTACCACCAACAGTATATGAGGGTTTCAATTTCTCTACATCCTTACCAATGCTTGTTTTGTCTTTTTGATTTTAGCCATCCTAGTGGGTATGTAGTGGCATCTCTTTACGGTTTTGATCTGCATTTCCCTAGTGCCTAATGATCTTTTTATATATTAGTTGGGGACCTGCATATCTTATTTGGAGAAACGTCTACCAAATCCTTTACTAACTTTTAAATCGGGTTGTCTCTTTGTTGTTGACTTGTTGGGATAAAAATTCCTTATCAGACATCTGATTTGCAAATATTTTCTCTCCTTCTATGAGTTGTCTTTTTACTTGACGCTTCCTTTGGACACACACAAGTCGATGATGAAATTTATCTACTTTTTCCTTATTGTACTTGTGCTTTTGATATCATATCTAAGAAAGCACTCCATAAAGGTCTTTAGCTTTGAATGTAAGAAATTTATCTTTAAAAATTCTTACGTCATTAAGTTATATTTACACACATACATAATCATATAAATAAATAAACATACCCACATCTCGCAAAACAATTAGAAACTCAGACTCTGGTAGTCCGTAAGCATTAGATGGTTCTTCTAAAACAGTGTATAAACTTCCACATGGACAGAATTCCATAATAAGTACTTTATGTCTTGTTGTTGTCTGGAAAAAAAAAAATCACTGACCGACTCAATCTAAAAAATAAATTTTTAATATATGCCAATACTCATCTGATTTCATTTAAAAGTTGGATTTGCTACAATAATGAAGGTACTTTGAACTGCTTTTTACCTAGGGTTTGTTAAATATTTGTTTACTGTACAGATAAGAGTTAACATTTTCCAAAATTAATATTAAAACTGGATTTGTTTTTAAAGATGAACCACAGTAAAACTGGCTAAATCTAATTAGAAAATCACTGCTACAATGTTATAATGGATTTTTCAAAATTGTTTAATTTCTAACACATAATAGTACATTTAGGATATTAGCTTTGTAATGAAACTCTTAAAACACTTGAATTCTTCTTGTGACAAACACTTTCACTACTTTTACTTCAAAGAATGGAGTTTCAGCGGGTTTTTTTTGGCAGTACAATGTGGCATGTGGGATCTTAGTTTGCTGATCAGGGACTCAACCTGTGCCCCATGCAATGGAAGCCCAGAGCCCTAACCACTGGACTGCCAGAGAGCTGCCCGAGTTTTAGCCTTAAAAACAAATAGGTAGAATAACTGAGTGGTCCCTTTGGAGCAAAGTTCTAGTCAGCTCAGGAATCTGAGCTGCTGATCTGTTTTAAACCATGATTTTAATGTACCATTGATTATAAGATACACCATCAATTTAACAATAGCTTTATAGAGGAATAAAAGAAGTATTACCAAATTACAAATACACATTGATTATAAGATAAGGCCCATTTCAGAAACTTGAAAATGTGAATGAGTCTTAAATACAGTAGTCATTATCATTTTTTACTCTTTCTTCCTTTTATAATTGTTTTCTATATATCCCCAAAATAAATCTATAAAATATTTTAAAAACTTCTTTACTATTGGGTGGTATGAAAGAAATAATTTTAAAAGAAAAAAGCTGTTGCTTTTAAATAATGAAATAACTGAGTTTTGAGGAGTTGAAAATTTGAGAAATACCTCTAATTTCATCACCAAGATAATTATGTTTATATTTGGTGTGTTTCCCTTCAGTCTCTTTTCTATATGAATCACATTATAGACACATAACGCTTTGTATACCATATTTATCAAGATCATACTGCATAAATATTTTTAATACTGATTTTCTCACAAAACATTATATATAAGCATGCTCCCAGGTGACTGAAATTTTGTTAAATATTTCTTTTTATTACTGCTTAACCACTGTGCAGTACAGAATTAATTTTAGCTAGAGAGGTCTAGCACTTGCCCTTGGCTACTGGGAGCCGATTCAACAGACCTCTAGAATGTCGTATCTGCCTAAAGTGTCTCTGTCTGGGGGTTTTGGCCACGTGACAGTCTAAAAATGTGATTTATGATGGGGATCTTAGGACGTGCACTTCCGTTTCGACTTCCCGAGGCTAAGGAATCAGCCAGAACCCACAGGAAGGGCTGGAGACTAAACTCTGGCCATGCAGACAGTAAAAACTCTGCACACCAAAGGCTTGGGTAAGCCTCCAGGGCTGACAATGCTCTGTGTGTACTGTCACAGCATGCATCAGTGCCAGGAGGATAACGTATCCTTGTGGAAAGGAAGATTTGTGTTCGGAACCCTCGTGTAGTCCTATGGCCCTATGGATCTCTTCCTCTGGTTAGTTCTAATTTGTATCCTTTTGCTTTGCTACGATACTAACTTGTAAGTAGAGTTGATCCTTGAACAAAGCAGGGGTTAAGGGTGCTGCCCTTCCATGCATTCGAAAATCTACATGTAACTTTACAGTCAACCCCCTGTATCTGTGGTTCCATATCTGCAGATTCAACCAGTCTCAGATTATGTGGTTCTGTAGTACATATTTAGTGGAAAAAAATTCACATTATTATTGGTGGACCCGTGCAGTTCGAACCTGTGCACTTTGAGGGTCCACTGCATAGTGCTTTCTTGAGTTCTGTGAGTCATTCAATATTCTAGTAAATTATCAAATCTGAGGGCAGTAATGGGAAGCCCCAAATTTGGAGCCAGCTGGTCTTAAGGGACGATGGCCCTGAAGACTCCTGAGCGTGCAGCTCGTGTCTGAATGAGCCGTCTGATGGGGACTTCTCCGACGCACAGCCTGCCAAACTCTTCTGTGGCTCGTCTAAGAAGTCTTGAACAGACTTGGCAGTCCAGAGGGCTATGCTTTTAATCTGCAGTATAGCTAACTCTGGGTAACAATCCATCAAACATTCTAACTTATTTAACCATTCTTTACTATAAACAGGACAGCAATGAACATCTTTGTGCATAAAATTATAGTTTATACTTCTGATTACTTTCTAAGAAGTAATCACTAAAAATGAAATCACTGATAGGAGTATAAACTGCCAAATTGTTTTTCAAAAGGTGTGATTTGATTACCCATACTAATGAGATTTCTATTTTTCTAATGACATCTTTATTTTCACTGTTTCCCACTAAAACCAACCCTGTCTTTGACAACTGGATTCATATATCACTCTCTGGATCCAAAGATTTCTATTCTTTATAAAGCCTTACTTGCATTGTTTGATTTTCTCCTTATGTAATTATGTCAACTTAACTTCACTTAGCCTTTGCTTTCAGTAATAATACTGGTAACCACATTGTATATTCTTTTATTACTTATACTACTTTTTCTGATTCCATGAGACTTTCCATTGTTATATATCTCTTTTTGAGAATACATAGCTGATTGTATGAGCCCTAATTTTCAGCATTAAAAAACCCACTCTTTATAAAACAATTTTTATGTCAGATTATTTCTCCTGAATTGTATTAAAATAAACATGACAGGATTAACTAAAGCTTGACGACTTACCTCCTCTTCAATAGCAAATAATTTGACAATGTTTTTGTGATTGAGTTTTTTTAACACTTCAAATTCTCTCATTTGAACATCCACTGGACGAAGGAAGCTTATGTTATTAAATACTTTGATAGCAAATAAGTCACCAGTTTTCTAAGAAAAGGAGAGAAAGTTTTTATTTACTTATAATATAAAGAAAATAAAAAAGGTAGCATTAGAACTAGATACAGCAATTTACTTTTTTTGTAGAACACCCTGAATATTTTTAAGCATTGGTAGTTTGTACTAGGACTCCTGATCTTTTTTTTCAAAAAAGCTAAAATACATCAATCAACTGCTCAATATTTATTTCAAATTTGGAATGTAGAAAAGGCTATTTTCTTTCATATTATAAATAAAGCTTCCATTGTGATACATGTGGCAAAGACAGGCAACAGTAGTAAAGGTGAACATGCATTTTGAATGAGAAATAGAAAGTGAAATTCACAAGGTTTCTCTGGGAACTATCAATTTTAAACTAATCAAAGCAGGAGGAGAAAGATGACAGATTATATTCCCCACGTGAAAGTTTTAGTAAGAATCGCAAAGCAAGGCAGTCAGCTCCTAAGGCCCCCACGCTGGATAAAATGCGCGTCTGTGCATGTGGACGAGAGGAGTTAAAAGAGGAAGGCTAGAGCAGGCCCTCCTGCTGGATTTGCCCCACGGCTGCTGCTGGGACTCTCTGCAACTTTACCTAGATGGCCAGGGCAGCTTGCTGCTTCCCACATCGTTTCTGAAGGATCAGAGACATTTCCTTTCCTCCACCAAAGCAGCCGCAGTAGCCGCACTCTCACTCTCCCAGGGCACACAGAAGTGCATCAAACACAGAATTACAAAGCGCAGCCGAAACTGGGAAGGTATCTTAGAAGTACAGAACACATGCTTCATTCCAGGTGAACATCGCATTCTCACCTTCTTCACAGAGTTAACCTTAAAGGCTCTCCTGCAGACCCTCTCACTTCTTTCCAATCACTCAGGCCAGATTCTCTGAGTTTAACCTTACTTTTCCCACAACCCAAGGCTGAACCCGCCTAGAGTTACTGGAAAGCTCGTTTCCTCTATGAGCATGGGGTTCAAGCATGCCTTACGTAAAGCCTTCCCACGGCTCTCTGTCTTTAGGACCCTGCGCTTTTCCTGCTTTGAAGCCCTCTCTACAGTTTCTCACACAGATTAACCACCTACAGCTTGTCACCCTCCTCCCCTCACGTTAGAATTTCATGATCTTCTTAAGACCATTTAGCTGCCTCACAAGCTCAGTCTAAGAGCACTCTGTGGACACCATCTTCCGTGTGATGAGATCACTCCTCCCTTTCTCCCAAGCTCCCTCCACACCAGATACACGTATATTCTTTACAGAGGAAGAGACCCCTGACTGTTTTCAGACAGAATGAAAATGGAACAATTTAACCAAGGCTCAATCATACTGTTTTACCATTTGATCAGCAGGATAAGAATGCTGTTAAATCTATTACCATCCAAGAGAGATTCTTCCTGAGGACACTTGTCTTAAGCTTAGTCTGAAATGAGGAGAATCCTAAGAGAGGAGCAAGCAGGGGAAATAACACAATGCTGCAAAGTATTCACTGTGACCAAGGCCAGTATTTTCCACTGTTCTCTGGTCTACAATATACCCGTGAGTTCACTGGGACGTATGACACCATGTCCCAGTTTCCCTCTATTCAACTGCACAGTCACCTGTCGGTCGCGGTCCTTAAGTCAAAGCACCACGAGTACTATCTAGAGATTCACCAGCACACACACACACAACATGCAGGTCAACATGTCCTTCCTCCAGCTCTCCCCCCTTAACTCCACCTAGTTATCACACGCATATACACCCATCCACACATGGCAGCAGCTCCAGGCAACTTACTGAAAAAGAGACAAATTGAGTAGGTAATAAACTTGGCATGGGGCTTCCCTGGCAGCTCAGACAGGAAAGAATCTGCCCGCAATGCAGGAGACCTGGGTTCGATCCCGACGCTGGGAAGATTCCCTGGAGAAGGGAACGGCTACCTTCTCCAGTATTCCAGCCCAGAGAATCCCATAGACAGAGGAGCCTGGCGGGCTACCAGTCCATGGGGTCACAAAGAGTCAGACACGACTGAGCAACTAACACTTTCACTTTCATATTTTGTATAGGGCTTCCTGGTGGCTTTGTGGTATAGACTCTACCTGCTAATGCAGGGGATATGAGTTCAATCCCTGGATTGGGAAGATCCCCTGGAGAAAGAAATGGCAACCCACTCCAGTATTCTTGTCTAGGAAATCTCATGGACAGAGGAGCTTGGCGCGTTATAGTCCATGAGGTCATAAACAGTTGGACACAATTTAGCAACTAATCAATAACAACAACAAATGGTAAACTTAGGGACCTGGTCACTCCAAGCAATAACATAAAAAGGGTTTAGCTAATACAATGAAAGATCCTTAAACAAGCAGTAATTAAGGGCAAGCAGGATTTTGGGGGTATAGTCCTAAACCCTTGAAACTGATGTCACTGAGAACAAATGTGGTTTCTCAAAACATGTTTTGAATACTAAACTAGGTGTTGGCAATATTGTAAGTCAATTCTTATGCCTCTCAAATCCTTATTTGAGATTTTTGAACTCTATTGGATAAAGAACATTTTTACTTCCTTTGAAGAACTTCAGGTCATGTTAGGGTAGTCTACTGTAGTTTGTCCTCATTCATTCATTTATTCTTTCAGTCATCAAGCATTTATACCACCTACTAAATCTAAGTACTACCATGAAGGACACTGGATATCTACAGAAGGAAAGGCACTGGTTAACAGAGATATTTACTAGCCTCAGGCACTTTAAATATGCCTCCCTCAGCTCCTGTCACTGCTGACTACCTGTCACTCCCTCAGTTTCTAGTTGACATTCCTTCCAATGCCACCTTGCTGCTAAACCCAAACCTCTTCATGCACAGGAGCTGTACTTTATCTGTGGTTAAAATCACTAGTCCCCTCATAGTATTTGACATATACCAGGTGATTACTAAAGTCTGGTAAGTTAATTTGGGTCACAGGAAGAGAGAGGGTCAGATGTGTCTCACTGCTAAAATTCAGTGCTGCCACTCACTTTCTCTTCTTGGCACACTGCACAGAACAAAAACAATTTTGAGGACAGGAATATCCAAGGCTGATCATTATCAATCTAATCAAGGACTGGAACCTGAAGATAATTCTAAAAATTGGAGGTGAAAAAAAAGCTAAAAACGGTACGACACTTTGGATTCACTCCCTAAGACCCACAGAGGAAATAGCACCCATCTATGAATACTTATTTCACTGTCACAGACAGAACCGACTGGTGGTCTCAGGGCTACAGAAAAATATATAGAAACTCCTCCTTACTAAAGTGTTTTGAGCTCCTGGGCTGAATTCTTAGCGCTGAAAAACTAGTGGCTGATTATTTGCAACATAAAAAGATGTTTTTATTCTATTATTTTTCCAGCTTCCTTCCCAGAACAGAAATTTTAATGATTTTAACTTTCTTCATTTTTAAATGACTTTAATTATCTTTCATTTCATTCTCCAGTACAGAAGCTGACACAGAGTCCTTTTGGTTCCTGAAAAGCCTCTGGGATTAGCCCTTTTATTCTATTCTCCCTTGCCACTAACAAGTTCTGATTACCTCATACCAAGATATAAGCCTTTGAAACCTGGGCTCCTTGTTGGTACGTTCACTTTACACCAATCTACTCTGCAGAATGTTGGTTACTTCAGGGGCAGGACGCCCTACTACAGGCCAGGAGAATCATCCGAGGGTTTTCCTCCAAAGTTCCCATCTGCTCCTCACCATGCCTCCCTCTCCTGCCTCCTACCCCAAATCACCGCTGCACTGAACTCTGTCAGGGAGCTCACTGTCTGCCGCAGGAGGACCAGGTGGAGGAAAGAACCAAGAAAAAGGCCAACATGAATTTTCCCTAGTTCCTTTTTTCATACTGTTTTCTCCTTTTCCCAGCACATGACCTCTGCCACCACCAGGTAGATAACACTGCCTGTGACACAAGCAATACCTTAAATAACCACAAAAACACATACTCTCTTTAGACAAAATAATCAAACCCACCAAGTGTAAGCGTACATCTCAGAAAACTGCACATACAGAGCTTTCACAGAACTCTCCGCACCAACCTTATGTCTTCCACGAAAGACATTTGCAGTAGCTCCTTGGCCTAAAATATCAGATAAAAGCCACAGATGATTAGAAGTGCTCTGCATCTCGGTGTAATCAGGCGATCCTCCTGTTATACTAAGAGAAAAGAAAAAAAAATTGCATGCTTGTTTTAAGGGAATAATACATTTAAGAAACAAATGTTACCTACTTTTAGTCTCAAGAAAGAGCACCTATAATTTACTGCTAAATTGAAGTGTATAAACAGTCCAATAAAAACCTAACTTTCCAGCAATATTAAAGGTTAACATGCTGTGTGGGCTCTGAAAAACCTTTAACCAATGACATCTTATATGTTCAGTTTAATTCACTTATTCACAGGGCTGAAAAAAATATCTATTTTCCTTCTAATTTTTTCTCTGTCAACGAAAGTGATATTTACCTCCTTAAAATGTTTTGGAAGATTAATCACTGATGCATCATATTTTAAAGTGTTTTAAATAAAATAAGGTAAAATACAACAGAATTATAGGAAAAAGTAACTTTGTTTCTTTCAGGTGCAAGGTAACACTAACAAAAGCAATTGTTGCCACTACATAACACTTTCCTAATTTAAAATTTCATCTACTCAGAGCCTGACAACCAGGATTCAAAGAAGACCTTTCAGTCACAAATTCTGAAATTAACTTAAGGATAGTTTTTCCAACCTCTAAATACATAAATACACACATATGAAGTGTATATTAACAAGTCTTAAAAAATAAGCAGGGGAGACTACGTACGTTTAAAGGCAGAAGTATATGGAAAAATCTCTGTACCTTTTGCTCAATTTTGCAGTGAACTTAAAACTGCTCTAAAAAAATAAAGTGTATTAAAAAAAAAAAACAATACCCCCACCTTTGTCCTTCAATATTGTAAAGCTGTGTATCTAGAAGGATATAGTGAATATTTGTGCTCCATGATGGAGTAAAAATGAGGTATGCTAAATAGCATAAACATTTGTTCCACCATGCCAATCTAAACCTAATGTAATGTCACATTTAATCTTAATATCCTTTCACAGTAAGTTAGAAGTAGATATTCAGGAATGAATTAATGAATGCCAATATTCCAAGTAGGGTTAAGAACACAAAGAATGGGCAGGGTCCAAATTTCAACAATCTTTGATATATTAAGATACATGAATATAATTTTACCCCCATCTAATTCAGATGAATAATTTTATATACAGCAATTTATGGGAAATAAGCAGTAAAAATAAGATTCTGTTTTCAAAATATGGAATACACATTTATCAGCTACTGATATAATAAAATTCTCAAATATCTTTTCAATAGTATCTTCAAGTATTTCTCAAGAATGAAAAGCTTCCTTAATTAATGTAACTTCGCTGCTTGAGCTAACTATAACTGACAAATAATATCATTAGCTACCTATGTACATCCAATGGGTAATATAAAACACACTGATCAGCTAAGATACGGTGCTCTCTATATGCAGATATTAAACTACAGTGTCACAATGATTGGGGAAATGCCTTTTCAAACTATCTACCAATTACCCCACAACAACAGCATGCTAAAACATGACTCAGCACACCTAGAAGGTGCTTGCTATATAAATCTTTCCGAAATTTTGACATAACATAAGCAGGCACTCAACAAGTACGAGATTGGTGATCCTGCCTTAAGTCTACTTCCTTATGCCGTCCAAAATGAAAGTTACCATTTGTCCATAGATGAAAACCGGCTTGGTGACGCCGCATATGGACAAAGTTCCAGGATTTCCAAACTCTACCACTACGTGAATCATTTATTAAAGATAATATTCAGAGTTCCACAGCGAAAAAAGCCGGGCTTTGGTTACGCACTGACAATTACTGGGGAGAACTTGTTTTGAGGACACCAATTGAAAACACCTGGGAAACGGACTGGAACATACACTCGTAAGTCATTTCCCAAAGGAAACGTTTGGGAATTTGCATTACATGTATGTAACATTAAAAACGTCTTCGGCTTCTAGCTTCCGGTGAGCCAACCCTTGCTGTTTTCATTAAAACCCTAATGACATGTCTTCTTAACCATCTAAAAAATCAAACGACCGCATTCACGCTCGGAAAGACGGGAGAAAGCAGCCAGTCTAACTCCAAGGGAAAGGGGCACCGATGCGCGCCTGCCCGGGGGGCCAGGGCCCAACCCCAGTAACGGGTACATCCTCTTTCTCGGTGCCCAACGACACCAGACCCGTGAGGGCCCGGGTCAAAGGGCCGGCCATGGGGCGAGGAGTCCAGACGCAGCGGACCGGCCCGCGCGACCATTCCGGCCGGCTTCGCACGCCCCGGACACCCGGGAGGCGGTATCCGCCCAGCCAGGGTCGGGGAGGGCTCGGCCTCGGGTCCCGCTAGGCTCCTTGGGTCGCCCGCCCCGCCTCCGCCCTGACTCAGCACCCCAGTTTCCCACGGGGGCGGGATTGCTTCTCGCGGGCCATGCCTGGCTCCGCAGCCCGTGCCCCACGAGTCTGCAGCCCCTCCGCCCGAGCCTTCCCGGCTTACCTCGCCCGGTCTCCGCCGCTCCACCGCCAGCGGGCTCCCGCGGCCTCCCTGCGCCTCAGGCCACTTCCGGCTTCGCAAGCTCTGGACAGAGGCCACGTGACCGACGGCCGGCGCGCGGGTGCGCGTGCGCACTCCCGCCGGACCGGCCTGGGCCTCAGCCTCCGCCGCCGACGCTGCTCGCACGGCTGGGTCCGCGATTTTCTGTGACGAGGAGCCAGGAGGCTTGGTGGGTGTCTGAGTCCGACCCAGTCCACATCCACCGCCTGTCTCCCGCTCACTATGAGGGCAAAGCCGGAGAGCCCTGCGCGGTGAGCGCAAGAATTCAGATTCCCACGCGGCAAATTCTGCCGCGTCCCCCAGTGCAGCGATAGTGGGGCAGGCAGATAGGGACCGATGATTACAAACGTATAATAATCACAGCTGTGCAGAATACTGACACGTGCGGGGCCATCGCTGCAGGGATAGAGTCGTACGTATTTTAAAGACCACTTTGGCTGCAGGGGAGCCAGATTATCGAATGTAAACAAGCTCATTTAATTCCCCGCTCTTTAGATGGTATTTTGGGCTTCCCCGGTGGCTCAGATGGTAAAGTGTCTACCTGCAACGCGGGAGACGCAGGTTCGATCCCTGGACCGGGACGATCCCCAAGAGAAGGAAATGGCAACCCACTCCAGTACTCTTGCTTTGGAAAATGACAATATTGGAGAATCTACAGACTAAAATCACATGCCCTGCAATATTTGTGCCTCTGAGAGTTCAAGCAGCTATCCCCTAGAGATCCCTCTGGCCCACTGACAGCACTGCAGCCTTTCTCAGCTAGAGGCAAAAGAGACTTCTGCTGCTGAGGGATAAATTCCGGAGGGAAGGAGGAGGAAGGCGGGTGTCCTTCCCAGGTGAGAACTACAGGAGCCAGGAGTGAAAGAAGGAAACTGTGGCAGAGTGGTTTAAGAGCAGAGGCTCTCCAATGGAGCCGACCTGGATTGCAGTCCCAGCGCTTTTTCCTAAATGCTGATGTGCTGCGGTTCATGGGGTTGCAGAGTCGGACACGACTGAGCGACTAAAATGAACTGACTTTAGACAATGTTTTTTTTAACCTAAGCCTGTTTTTTAGGACTTCCCCGGTAGCTCAGAAGGTAAAGAATCTGCCTGAAATGCGGCACACCTGGGTTCGATCCCTGGGTGGGGAAGACCCCCTGGAGGAAGAAATGGCACCACACTCCTGAAAAAATCCCATGGACAGAAGAACTTGTCTGGTTACAGTCCGTGGAGTCGCAGAGTCGGTCACGACTCAGCAACTAACACTTAAGTCCTTAGGCGTGTTTTTATCATATATCATAGGTACAAAACAGAGGTAACAGAAGTCCACTATAATGTCTGTTACAAAGGAATTTACATTATTAAATCATTAAAGTGTTTAATGATGGAATCATTCTAACAACGGTCTATTCACTGCTTACAATTCCCACTAATTTTAGTTCACCCCTATCTAATGCCAAGAAGGCGGCCTTGAGTCAAAGTTGCTTCCAACAGTATAACCTACATCTCAGAGTTGAATGGGAGATGTGATTAGCTGAAGGCCTTGATTCAAAATGTTTACTGCATTAAGTGAGGAACGCTGAAATACCTTTTCTGGAAGATCAAGCCGTTTGTGAAGCATTTAATGTATTTAAGATTTAAACAAACTGTTAGGCCCAGAACTATACCAGGCCTCATAAAACTTGTAGTTCCTTAGTTAAGACATACAAATCCCCATCGTTTTGCCTCAGTGAGGCTTTGTTAAGGTGAGATTCACCCTTGAGACAATTATTGGGGTGTTTGCTTTTGGAGACTGTTATACAATACAGATAAGGCAATTTATGATGAAACAGTTTCCTAATTGCTATGGCACCCCCTAAGTGAAGTGCTCTAGACAACTTCAAGGAAGGAAGGTGTGAAATATTACACGATTAGAGAACATGAAGTTTTAATCTCTATTACAGATTCTTAATACCCCTGTTTTGATTTCTCTTAGCTCGGAACACTTGCGAATCTTCTGAAGGGTTTTAAAGAGCCAGGAAGGAAGTGTTACCTTTACACATATGGAATAAACAGTACGGTAACACTGGCTACTGGGGGCTTCCAGGTGGCTCAGTGGTAACGAGCCTGCCTGCCAAGCAGATTGGGTTCGATCCCTAGGTCAGGAAGATTCTCTGGAAAAGGAAATGGCCACCCACTCCAGTATTCTTGCCTGGAACATCCCATGGACAGAGAAGCCTAGCAGGTTACAAAAAGAGTATATAAAATAGCATGGGGTCACAAGAGTCAGACACCACCTAGTAACTAAACAATAGCTATTATCAATAAGCAGATGCTGCAGTAAGCTTTTTTCATGTTTTAACGTACTGAATTCTTAGTTATAATGTATTTACCATTATTCCCATTTTACAGATGGGTAAACTGGGGCAGAGAGAAGTTACCTAACTCACCAAAGGTTCTAAAATCAATTACTGGCATAACTGCTTTCTGAACCTACTGAATCTGGATCCCGAGCCTGTCTGAGCTCTTAACTATTATGCTGTGCAATTCAGTATACTCTGAACAATCAGTTCAAAGATCATTGGAATATATGCAATGATCTCTCCCACTGTACAGGGGAACTTGACAAAGGAACAATAGCTCTCACTCATCTATTTTTAAAATCCTTTTTACTGAAGTAGTCATACCTTAGTATCCACAAGGGATTGGCTCCAGGACCTCCTCCCCAGTACCAAAATCCCTGGATGCTAATTTCTTATATAAAATAGCATAGTATTTGCATATAATCCATGCACATCCTCTAACTTACTTTAAATGATTTCTAGAATACTTACAACACCTAATACAATATAAACACTATATAAATAGTTCTCAAGTACAGCAAATTCAAGTTTTGCTTTTTGAAACCTTCTGGAAATTGTTTTTTCCAAGTATTTTTGATCTAAGTTTGGCTGAATCCATGGATGTGGAACCTGCACATACAGAGGGCTGACTGTATAATATACATCTCATTGATCTATTTTACAATTAACTGTTAACCTAGTTTAGCACCTTTATTCTATGATGTTAGGAAAATGTTTAAAATCATTTCTGAAATTAACCCCAGGAGAATATTTATATAAAATTCAGGATACAATTTTAGGGAATTTAGAAAACCACTGAAGCCCATCCATGAAACCTCTAGGGACCACATGGGCCAAAGGTTAAAAAAAACCCTTAGCCACCCTAAAACCCTACTTGGAAGTTTGGAATTTAAACTTAAATGATGACTATAGTAATTCTGCTGCTCAATTTTGTCCATCCTTTCTTAATTTTCCGGTAGTACTACTGGTCTTATCATCTTGATTTCTTGCATGAAAGTGAAAGTGTTAGGCGCTCAGTTGTGTCCGACTCCTTGTAGCCCGCCAGGCTCCTCTGTCCATGGAATTCTCCAGGCAAGAATAATGGAGTGGGTAGCAATTCCCTTCTCCAGGGGATCTTCCCGACCCAGGGACTGAACCCTGGTCACCCAAACTGCAGGCAGATTCTTTACTGTCTGAGCCACCAGGGAAGGTTTCTTGCATAGTTATGAATAAAAATGGGGGAAGGCAGGGGAACTAAACCGGCAGCTACTACTTATAAGCATTATAAATACACAGGTATATTGTACCCTAAGTAAATCCAGTTAAGAGGGAAAATAATAGATTTTTAATTCTATCAACATATGCACACAGGCTTTTTGTAGTGCATTTGAAAAAAGATTCTAAATTGTTTAATAGAACAAAGTAGGATATACTCTTTTAGGAGCATAATTAAATCATCCAGACACTCATACAGTATGTGCAGTCACTTAAATGGAAAATCAGAGAAAGATGAAAAAAATAAGGCTCAAGTATTTAAAATAACTCCAAAAGACTTGGTATATTTCACTACATAAAATTTATTTGCTTTTTTTTATAAAAAATGTATAACACCAGCACCTACTCTTCAATCAGTTAATTTATGAAACCATTCTGTTTTGTAGAATACACCTTGGCATTGAAACAGTTTAAGGAAATGTAATAGCTATCTACAAAAAAGTTAATTTTGATTTTATTCCCCCCACTTTTTTATGAGTCTGCACACATAAATGAAACAGTTTATGAGTCTGCACACATAAAACAAAAATTTAAATTTTCAAACATTTATATTCAGTAATGAAAAAGAAGTACACTGCTTTCTTGCTATGGTCTTTATAAAGGACTTAAAAGTTTCAAGTTAAAAAAAAGGTACTAGGATAACTGCTGTATCTTACAACAGCATTTTTATATAGAACGATTTAATCGGCATGCAACTTCTCTATGTTGTCACATACCTGTAATTTAGGGAAAATTACACCCATTTTACAGAAAAAAATCCCAATACATATACTGCAATAAGCTCAAAGCAATGTTAAAAAGACCAGTGTGAACGGCACACAAAAAATTGTTTCTTTATAAATTATTAACTGGAATTCCTGATCATGAAGTAGGCACAGGGAGATCTAGTCCTCAGGGCTTTGCTCTCTGGAAGAACACCTGTAAATAAAGTATTAGTTCAATTAGAACTGATGTCAGATGATTATCACCTTTTACCTGAAGAAGGGCTCCATGTTACTGGGTGCGAGCCACTCTTCTAAAACATTTCATATACTCCATAAAGCCACACATAATACAAGACAAAACCTTTCTCTTCTGGACAACCTGGTAAAGTCTAGAGATAACTACTGTTGCCATCACTCAGTTGGGAAACGAGTGAAAACGGTGCTGCCTCCAGTGCGATGGGAGCCAAGCAGCGAGAGGAGAACACGCCCTTGACGCGGCTTGCTGACGGCACTGCTGTCAGAGTCAACTAAATTCTGAGGAAGGAACAAGTCAAAGCTAAAGACAGCAGGCGTTATCCCCTAGCTATTTATTTCTTTGATTATAAAAAAATACTTCCAACTTAACATCTAAGACTACGAATGTGTAGGCTAGAGGCTGTGCTAAGCACTGGCTCGTATTACTCCCTTCCATAGCTGGGTTCACGTTAAGTAAGCGCCAGAAAGAGTAAATAGAAGGCAGTAAACTCATTATGGATAAGGACCACATTCATCACTGTATCTCTAACACCTAGTAGATCAGACATTCACCTAACAGTTATTAACTATTTATTGACCAAGTGGAGAGAAAAGAATCATCTCTATATAAGCGAAAGATAGCCTTATATAGAGGCCACGATTAAGATTAGCCTTGAAGAATGGGTAGAATTCCTAAAGGAGAAGAGTGCTAACAGGGAGAGTACTTGAAGAACAGCAGGAATAGTAAGGGACATTCCTGCAAGAGAAAACAAAAGGTAGTCTGAGCTCAGAAGCTGGAAAAAAAAAGCACCTAAATGCCAAATTAAAGAATATGTTACTGTTTAGTCAACAGTTAAAGCATATGAAGATCATGAAGCAAAGGAATGAATTTCAGAAAACTGTTCCATGTTTTCAAACGGATCAGCCTGGACAGAACAAGGGGAGGGAAATCAGAGTGGAGTAGGGGAGACAGAAACAAGCGAGAGAGCGAGGAGGCGGCGGTCAGCAAGACCGAAGGACTAATCAGACAGGGACAGAGGAGGCTCACAAGAGGGAGCTTCGTTTTTCCCCAACTAGAAGACTAACACCATAGAGAAGCTGCGCTTGGGAGGAAGACTTTATAAATGCTGTTGGGATGAATATACTTGGAGCACAAGCCTCCTACAATGTACCTAGACCTGCTGGAACAGATACCTCTAACAGAGAGTTACAATTTATTTTTAGTCCTTTAATCCAGTATGATGATCAGTTACTTAACAGAGGTTACTGTCACAGGTACTTTGCTTTTATGGGGAACTGGGAAAGGGGAGGGTTCCCAATGATAAACAGTAACTCTCTTCTCACAAACTCTTTGGTCAGTTTAAGCTGACAAACTATTACTAGGGGAAAAACTGGCAAGGGAAGATGGTAGAACCAAAGTTGAAGGATAGCACACAGTGACATCCCTTGACTTGAATGCCTTTAGCAAAAGGACCAGGGAGCCATTAAGTTACTTATCACTAAGAAATTTAGCACATGTTTTACCCTGAAATTTGTTGAAGATAATTAAAAAAGTAAAGAACAGTTCCTCAAGCTGTCACACTATAACTTTAATTCTAGCCCATGAGCTCCTTGTGGGCAGGGAAAGTCACTCATACCAGTATCTGCAGCAGTTAGGATAGTATGTGTTACATAATAAGGCAGGCAGAGTACTGACTGAGTGACTAGCTGGGTGAGGGCAAGACAGCTGTTTCATGGACTTAACTGTAAAAATGAATACCAAGTAAATACTTGGAGGTTGGTTTGGTTAATTCAGCAGTTTTATGAATGTAAAAAGAGCCTTAGCAGCCAAATCTGAGGATTCTACTTTTTGTCCATTTTGCAAATTTGAAAGTTTCAAGACAGGATATAACCAAGGAACTCATACTTGTGTTTTTTTTTAGTTCCTTACTTTCAACTCTATATGGGCAGCTGTTCTTAAATATTACTTGTTCTCCCAATTCTCTAGTTCCTATTTAGTTACATCACAAAACTGTAAAAGGAAATTACATTTTCCTATCACCATGGTCAGGCATATACAATTCAGTGTGCTTATCTAACTTCCTTTAACCTTTTGTAGGAGCTCAGCTGAAAGGGCCTTCACATAAAACTGAAGTGTAGTAATAGCTATTAATTGTGGATTCTTAGAAGCAGGTTTTAGAGCAAAGAGATGCCCAAATATGTAACTATGTAACTGCTGGTCAAACTACAACATGACACAATATGCTGTGGTATGTACTGGCTCTGAAACATCACCTAATTGTATGAAGATATGTAAGTTTTCCAAATACCTACCTTTAAGTAGTTTTTAAAAACTTTAGCATCAGGCTGCTGAAGCGCTTGACAAAACTCCTGAGGGGCCAGGAGGGGAGGAGAGGTAAAAGAAATGAGTCATTTGTATTAAATTCATCAAAATTCAAAACCACAATATTCTTTTAAAATTGTGATAATAAAATCATAAAACTGACCATCTTAACCACATATACAGTACAGCACTGCTAACTAACTATATGCACTGTCATGCACCAGATCTCAAGAATTTTTCATCTTGCAAAACTAAAACTCTACACCCATTGAACAAATTCCCCGTTCCCCCTTCCTCTCCAGCCCCCACCCCCTGGCCACCAACATTTTACCTTCTGTTTCTAAGAGTTTGACCACTTTAGATACTTCATTTAAGTGGAATAATGCGGTATCTGTTTTTGTGATTGGCTTATTTCACTTAGCGTAGTGTCCTCAAGGTTATCCATGTTGTAGCATATGACAAAATTTCCCTTTTTGTTTTAAAGGCTGAACCATATCCGTTCTATGTATACACCACACTTGGCTTATCCATTCACCCATCAAGAGACATTCAGCTTGCTTCACATCTCCAGTATTCATATTATAATTAATCAAAATTAACCTGAACAGTTCCTTACCAAAAAGGTTATATGACATTTCCAAAGGTAATGCTTTTCAGCCAGGCTGTTTTCACTCTAGAGAACACAGCTGTTCTGGGGCAGATGGACTCTCGCCTCAGAAGGGCGAGTGGGACAGAGATTACATGGTTATAGCTGCTCTCATCTAGCAAAAGGGTAACTGTGAGGAGCCAGACCAAATGAGAAAGAGAAAATTCTCTCCAATAGAGCTGTGCAAGAAGCGCAGTCAGATGTCATATGAAAAAAGGAAAACCGGGAATCATTATCTTTTACAAGCAAATTATTAGATAGAAATATATATATATATATATTGCTTCATTTAGGAATCTAGGAAACTATTTGAGCTATTCAAAATTGAATGATATACTTCTGTTTCTGATGCATTAAGATCATAAGTAATTAGTAACATAGTTTTTATAAAATATTAATTTACTTATGTAACAAATGGTGAGAAAATTAATATCCAAGTTAAAGATATGTCATAAAACTAAAGATCATAAATTCATTAAAAATGAATTTTGTGAGTACTCTTATGTGAGGGCTATCTTTCATTCAGTTTTTCCAGTGCCTCTTACAAACAGCATTATAAAATACTATTGATGAAGAAACAATCCTTAGAATCTACACAAGAGATCCTAACTTGAGTTTCAGTCGGGACTCTGATAGCTCATTAGAACTATGTGCTACTGCACAAGAGGTCTGGATAACTAGATGCTCAGCAAACAACTGAATGCCATCATAAAAATGATGTGCCACTTACCTCAAAATATGATTTCAAATTCACAAGCTAAGCACAGGTGAGCTTGGACTGTGTAAAATTAACCACCTGGCACAAACTTCCAGACCATGCGTTTGTGTACCACAGTCCCCTCTGGCAGACCAGGGGAGCCTATTAGACCACTTTCAGAATGTTTTAAAAAATACTCTTAAAATACATGGGGTTACAAAGGAAACTAATGAAAATGAATTATGCTTATGAAATATATTTGTGATGTGTGGCAAAATAATAAGACTTACTGACTTAGATAACAAGGTATAGTAGCTATTTCAAGATCTCTGGAACAATGTAATGTGATATAAAAATATCTGTGATTCCTATAAGTGACAAAATCACAGGCAATGTGAATACTACTATGATCTGTTACCTACACAATAGTAGGAAGTTAGATTTGTTAGACTGAGAAAAAAAATTTTTTTTTCCCCATTCAATTTCACAGACCCTCTGATGTTTGGACTTTGGCTATCCTATGTGTATTAAGTCAAGGTGAATGTAATAGTTCTGGCTTTCTTTTTTCTTTTAAAGCCTCTTTATTGATTTTGTTATAATAATGATTATGTTTAGGTCTTTTGGCCAAGAGGTATGTGGGATCTTAGCTCCTTGACCAGGGATGGAACCTGTACCCCCTGCACCGGAAGGTGAAGTCTTAACCACTGGACCACCAGGGAACTTCCAGGTTTGGCTTTCTCCAGTCAAAATTTAAATTGAATTACAGTGGCTCAGTGGTAAAGAATCCACCTGCCAAGCAGGATATGTAGGTTCAATCCCTGGGTTGGGAAGATCCCTTGGAGAAGGAAATGGCAACCCACTCCAGTATTCTTGCTTGGGAAATCCCATGAAAAGGAGCTTTATGGGCTCCAATCCATGGGATCACAAAGAATTGGACATGACTTAGGAACTAAACAACAACTTCTTTAATTAAGATTAAGAGGAAAATCTGCTACAACAGTTCTTACCTGAATTATCTCTGGAGCTACTTGCAAGGAAGGCAGGTATTCCTGTTGAAGATACTGAACACATTCTGGGCCCTGAAAATTAAATTGGAACAATACATGAATACTTAAAATTCAATATGGTATTGTGATTAAGAACACAGATTCAAAAGCCAGACTGCTTTGAAGCCTGGCTCTGGCTAACTTCTAGTAACTTGGGTAGGTCACTTAATCTCCCTGAGCCTCAGTTTCTGAAAAAATGGAGTTATTGTGAGGACTGGAAGAGTTAACAAACATAAAGCTGCTAGAATAACACTTAGCACTCAGGACACATTAACATGCAGTGTTATGCAGTGCTAACAACTAAACAAATACTCTTCTAATGCAGGAGATCACAAAACCAGAGTCTGGCTCACAGGACTGAAAAAGAAAGCAAAGAGGGGTGCTCCCGTTCAGTCTACCAGAGTGGACGACAGGCACGGTGGGGGGAAGCCTGTGGGTAGTGCCAGGATCATTAACATCTTTAGAAATTAAAATATCAGCAAGAAAGAACAAAATGTTATATAGGAGATAATAGCAATAAAAGCACACCTCCTTCTTCCTATTCAATAAACTAGGAAACAGGAATTTAGTAGCCAGGTGAGAAAACTAAGACACAGGAAGACAGGGTGATTTGTCCAGTTTGCTGTTAATTAAGTCTGTACTATATACTAAATGCCAAAGCCTTTGACTGTGTGGATCACAATAAACTGTGGAAAATTCTGAAAGAGATGGAATACCAGACCACCTGACCTGCCTCTTGAGAAACCTACATGCAGGTCAGGAAGCAACAGTTAGAACTAGACATGGAACAACAGACTGGTTCAAAATAGGAACAGGAGTATGTCAAGAATGTATACTGTCACCCTGCTTATTTAACTTCTATGCAGACTACATCATGAGAAACACTGGGCTGGAAGAAGCACAAGCTGGAATCAAGATTGCCGGGAGAAATATCAATAACTTCAGATATGCAGATAACACCACCCTTATGGCAGAAAGTGAAGAGGAACTAAAAAGCCTCTTGATGAAAGTGAAAAGAGTGAAAAAGTTGGCTTAAAGCTCAACATTCAGAAAACTAAGATAATGGCATCCAGTCCCATCATTTCATAGCAAATAGATGGGGAAACAGTGGAAACAGTGGCAGACTTTATTTTTTTGGGCTCCAAAATCATTGCAGATGGTGACTGCATCCAGAAAACTAAAAGACGCTTACTCCTTGGAAGGAAAGTTATGACCAACCTAGATAGCATATTAAAAAGCAGAGACATTACTTTGCCAACAAAGGTCCGTCTAGTCAAGGCTATGGTTTTTCCAGTGGTCATGTATGGATGTGAGAGTTGGACTGTGAAGAAAGCTGAGCGCTGAAAAATTGATGCTTCTCAAGTGTGGTGTTGGAGAAGACTCTTCAAAGTCCCTTGGACTGTAAGGAGATCCAACCAGTCCATCCTAAAGGAGATCAGTCCTGGGTGTTCATTGGAAGGACTGACACTGAAGCTGAAACTCCAATACTTTGGCCACCTCATGTGAAGAGCTGACTCATTGGAAAAGACCCTGATGCTAGGAAGGATTGGGGACAGGAGGAGAAGGGGACGACAGAGGATGAGATGGCTGGATGGCATCACTGACTCGATGGACATGAGTCTGAGTAAATTCTGGGAGTTGGTGATGGACAGGAGGCCTGGCGTGCTGCGATTCATGGGGTCGCAAAGAGTTGGACACGACTGAGCGACTGAACTGAACTGAAATACTAAATAAAGAGCAAGTCATTTGATATCTTAAACCGTTGTCCTTCATTGCCAACTGCTAGTATTTCTAGATACAAAAACTTTCGTAATAGTTATCTGGCTTTTTAAGGGTAAACCTGGTAGAGGAAAGGGAGAAGAGTTCCACAGACTTACCCCTAATCCCCACCCCTTCTCAACACCTACAGAGGAACCTAGGACACAGTTTGAAAACGGCTTTCTTATAGCACTCTGTTGCTGAGACAATGGCCTCAACCAAATACAATAAATCCAATACTGAGAAAACAAACAAAATCCCTGCTAATTTCATCTTCAAACTTGAATCTAACTTAAATGCTTTAATATATTGAGGACTCCAACCTAGTGCAACCGAAAGGATGCTATCAAAACAAAAGCAATCCAACTTTCCTCAATGTACTCCTCCCTGCATTAATATCTGGATTTCCTGTTCTGCTCCTGAATCAAAGGCTTTCTTTATGTTTCCTTATCTACGCTTACTCCTGAACCACTAGCCCAATCAATCCAGGTCACAATTTAATGATCCTTCTAAGGAAACTTGTTCCTGAGAGGAGGTAATACTGTACTGTTTGTGCAAGTTTCTCATATCAATTCTACTTTCCTTCTCACTTCTTTATTCTACTCTTCTCCCTGTACTAACTGCCCATTCACTGTTCATCATTGCATATAGCTCCACTGCTTTCACTTAAAAATGGAGTATAGTTTTGTTTTTGTTTTTTTTTAATGAGGAAACCTAAACTTTGACCTCAAGAGGAGATGAGTCAGGCAAATAAATGAAATAATTTTCAAATATTATGTTCCACTTGATTCAATTCTGTGTCTAAATAACAACTCTGAGGACAAGATAAACACTTCTGAATTGTAAATATCATTCTTAACTGTTATTCCTCATTCTCCTTGACTCTCTAGCATCTAACAATGTTAACCAGTCTTCTCTTTCATGACTCTTCCCCTAACTTTTGTTTTTTTTACTTTACAACATTGTACTGGTTTTGCCATACACTGACTTCAATCTGCCATGGGTGGACATGTGTTCCCCACCCTGAACCCCCCTCCCAACTCCCCCCCATTCCCCTAACTTTCACACCTTTGGTCCTACTTCTAGCTTTCTGTTGACTCTTGCTTTAGCCAAAGTTCTTTCTGTCCTGGTCTTAGAAACTCCCATTCAGTCCTACTAGTCCATCTTAACAAACTACAACCTGAGAACTCCAAAACCAGTATTTAGTTCTAACTGCTTTTGACCCATGTTTCTAAGTGCTCTGTGTACATTTTTTCTACCTAGCTATTCTAAATTACAATCACTGCCTGCTGACTTCCCAACTTCTCACACATAACACATGCCTAGTCTCAATTAGGTTTTTAGCTATTCTACCCCTATGCTTCAGTTAAACAGAATAACATTATTTTCTACTAAGTCTACACTACAACACCTCATCTGTCTTCCTACACCTGTCACAGTATTTTTGCCCAGAGTGTCAGCTCCTCCTGGTCAGTCTAATGAATCCACATTTGTTTCACAGTCTATAAAAAACCATAAAAACACTCCCTCTTTTGGTATTGACTTATATATTGCCTGGGCAGATCTGCTCATTCATCTTTAGTCCCACCATGTTACACTTAATACAAATGACTTAATTTACTATACCTCCATTAAAGTACTTACTTAACACATCCAATTGAGTTTTTAAGTACTGGTCTCCCCAATTCTAAGTGAAAGTTGCTTAGTTGTGTCTGACTCTTTGTGACCTCATGGATAGCCCATGGAATTCTCCAGGCCAGAATACTGGAGTGAGTAGCTGTTCCCTTCTCCAGGGGATCTTCCCAACCCAGGGATTGAACCCAGGTCTCCCACATTTCAGGTTGATTCTTTACCAGCTGAGCTACCAGGGAAGCCCGATTCTAAGCTCCACATATGTTGGGGCACTTTTTATTCATGTTTATACAGGACTTTTGCAGCTCAAAAACACATAGCCCTTCCTTCCTAGCACATAATAGGTGTAGAGAAAATGCTGGATTGAAAACCCTTCAAGTCTCTCTTGGAATCAAAAATTCAAGTTCAGACGAGGGAGTAGGATGTATGGAGACTCTGAACAAAATCTCACGTGTTTATTTTGGGTGGTTGAGGGAAGCTCCTGTTCACTAGATGACTTCAGCTATGTGGGACTGCTAGTCCTATGCTGGCATCCTGGCTTTGAGAAGTCAGAGATAGAAATTTTTGTTTAAAAAAAAAAAAAAAAAAAAGACCTGATTTTCAAATGCTGGCATTCAATTCACTAGTTAAAAACACTATATAAAGCAAACAACACACCAGCTAGATTTAGCCCAGAATCACTTATGATTTATACAAATTGTTAGGTTAACAAGGGGACTACAAACTTCTGAAGTAGTGAAGTGCTCTAACCAACCTGTAACTCTAAGAAGTTGGACAAATCTGTGAAGAACCTACCAGGTAGTGAAACCTGGGATTGTGAAATTCCGGTTAAGATGTTTCTTATTGTTTGTCAAATGAAACAAATACACATTTTAACTTTCTGGTTATCCCAAATGTGAAAGACAATAAAGGATACTACTACTTTCGTTCAGCCCCTCCCTCACATCCAAGACAGTCGAAAGTGAAGTTAATCAATTTTCATAAAAGACTGTTTTCAAGAACAAGACATACTCAATTAAAACTATAAAAAATAAACATGCAAGCTGAAAATAAGGAGGCAGGAAGTACAAAGCTTACCCGTTTGAGATGAATTGTTTTCAGTGTCACCGCACACTCAGATAAAGCCTATGAAAAGCAAGTTTAAGAATTTTAATATAGTCAATTCTTAAATACTGATCCTACATTTCTTCCCCTCGCCACTGTTCATTAACATTTACTGCCAAAGAAAAGATGGAGAAAGGAATGCTAACAGACAGGCAAAAGGAACAAATGGGAAGACAGAAAAATACAAAAATGCTGTCTTAATGTAGTGCATTATAATTAAGAAATCAAGCTTTTACTTGGTCTTAGGGAAATGAGTAAAGGGCAACTGCTTGACATTAAGCATTCTAAAGATGAGATTTGGGGAAACTATCAAATGAGGAAGAGAAAGGTAACAAAAAAACAACATTAAGCACAAGATTTAGAAGAAAGAAGTGGTAGGAAACTAGTAACCCAATCAAGCTTTAAAGACTGCATCATGTAGCCTTTCACAGTCCTAGAAAAAGTCCTGGTTATTAAAACTGGAGGAGCTATATTTTATATAGTTAACTTTAATACCAAGATTTAGTAAGAATTCACAAAAGGTCCAAAAGGTATCATCAATGTTTTAAAGAAAATTTAAGCTAATATTCTAATTTGAAATTATTATTTTTTAAAGGCACTGAAATCTAATATAATCAGCCTGGCATTAAGGAAGAAATTGTGAGTTAGAACACATGAGATCTAAGAAGGTCTAAAGAGATTCCTAGGTGCTTACCAATACTGTTTGTGCATCTGCCAGGTCAAAGGTTTGTTTTAAAGGTGCTAGGAAACATGCGGGGACAATGTGCTTATAAACAAAATCAGCAAATCCCACTGGTCCATCTTTACCTCCTGTTAAGAAAATTCAAATTTTCATCTTGTATAATAATGAAGTCATTTAATTTATCACCAGTGAAAATCAACTCCCAGCTCCTGTCTATGTTAGGACTAGGATCCCATTTCATCTCTCTTGTCTTAGGAAACAGGCTGGGGAATGAAGAATTTTTTAAAAAATTATATTTATTTTTGACTGTGCTGGGTCTTTGTTGCTGTGTGGGCTTTTCTCTAGTGAGACATGGGCTCTAGGGCACGCAGGCTTCAGCAGTTGCAGCTCCTGAGCTCTTGAGCACAGGCTCAATAGTTGTGATGTACAGGCTTAGCTGCTCCAAGGCATGTGGGATCTTCCTGGATCAGGGATCAAACCTGTGTCTCCTGCATTGGCAGGCGGATTCTTCTACCACTGAGACACCACGGGAAGCCCCAAGATTTTTTAAAAAAGAATTATCTTACCCCAGAGTTCTACCAACTTGGAAAGGATAATAAAACATGTTTTCTGAGCAATGGGATCTGGATATTCGACTGCTCCTTGAATAACAGTAACCAGCACTTGTTCTACATTCTCTGCACCTGAAGAGAAAAACCTGAGTTCAATCTGAAAAAGAACTAGAAAGGCAATCTGAAGTCCTGATTTCATATACAGTAAAAAGACAAAAGCATTTACAGGGTTAAGATCCCTCAATTTTTATTATCCTGGCTCCTAAATTTTAAGTATAGAACACTGAAAAATTACTATTCCCTCATTATCCTGCCCTCTGGATTTCCATGTAACAAAATTAACTACGTGGACCCCTGCAGTCCATTTTTAATAGCTTACTGACCAGAGACAATTCAATATTCAGTTACATAACTAATTGCAGGCCACAGGCATTAAATTTCTGCAAAAATTCCCCAGACACTAATGTGTTAATTTAAAAAAAAGGCAATGTGGCCAGTAAGATTCAATTCTGGCAAGAAGCCATCACAGTAGTATACTATAAAGGAATCAACTAATGTAGCTTTTGGCAAACAAAGAACATTCTCTAGAATAAAATACATATAGAATATACAACCAAGCCACAGTAAATATAAAAGGATAGACATTATTTCAAGTATCTTTTCTGACCACAATGGCATGAAACTAGAGATCAACCACAGAAAGAAAAATGAAAAAAAAGCTATGTGGAAATGAAACAACATGCTACTAAAAAACCAATGGGTCAGTAAGGAAATCAAAGAAGAAAAAAGAAAAAATAATACCAAAGCAAGTGATAATGAAAAACAACCACACAAAAATCTATAGGATGCAGCAAAAGCAGTCTTAAGATAGAAGTTCATAGTGATATGGGCCTTCCTCAAAAAAACAAGAGAAATCTCAAACAATGTAACATACCCCCTAAAAGAATTAGAAAAAGAACAAACAAACCCTGAAGTCAACAGAAGGAAGGAAATAAATATCAGAGAGAAGACACAGATTAAATAGAGATTAAAAAAAAATAGAAAAAGGCAATAAAAGCAAGAGATGGTTTTTTGGAAGGGATAAACAAAATCAACAAACCTGTAGCCAGTCTCATCAAGAAGGAAAAGGACTCAAATAAACAAAATAAAAAATGAAAAAGAAATAACCAGTACTGCAGAAATTAAAAAAATTATAATACTTCAGTTATATGGCAACAAAATGGACAACCTAAGAAATGGAAAAATTTCTAGAGACATACAGCCTACCAAATCTGAATCAAGAAGAAACAGGTAACTTCAACAGACTAATCATTAGAGATGAAATAGAAGCTGTCTTAAAAAAAAAAAAACTCCCTGCTAAAAAAGTCCAGGACCATTCAGCTTCACTGGGGAATTCTACCAAACAAACAAAGAACTTACACCTATCTTTCTTAAACTCTTACAAAAGACTGAAGAGGGAACACCATCAATGTCATTCTATGAAGCCATCATCACCCTGATACCCAAACCAGACAAAACACTACAAAAAAAGAAAATCATAGGCTGGTATCTTTGATGAATATAGAAGCAAAAATCTTCAACAAAATATTAGCAAATTGAAGCCAATAACACATAAAAAGGATTATACTCCATGATCAAGTAGGATTTATTTCAGGGTCACAAGGATGGTTCAATATATGCAAATCAATCAATGTGACATTACCACCCCAACAAAAGAAAAGACAAAAACCACATATTTATCTCAGTAGATTCAGAAAAAGCATCTGGTAAAATCAACATTCCTTCATGATAAAAACTCTCAACAAAGTGAGTACAGAGGGAGTATATCTCAACATAATAAAAGCCATTTATAACAAAGCCACAGTGAATTTAATACTCAATGGTGAAAAGCCAAAAACATTCCTGCTCAATTTTGGAACAAGAGAAGAATGTTCACTCTTACCACTTCTAGTCAATATAGTATTGGAAGTCTCTGCCACAGCAATTACACACAAAAAAGAAATAAAAGGTGGTATCCACACTGGAAGGGAAGAGGTAAAACTGTCATTATAGGCTAATGACATGATATTCTATATTGAAAACCCTAAGGACTCCACAAAAAAATATATTAGAATAAATGAGTTCAGCAAGGTAGCAGGATACAAGTCTAATATATAGAAATCTGTTGCATTTCTTTAATAATGAAATATCAGAAAAAGCAAAAAAAAAAATCACACTTGAGATTGTGTCAAAAAAACAAAACAACAACCAATAAATAAACCTATCAAGGAGGTGAAAGATCCATATTCTGAGAACTATAAAAAACTGGTAACAGAAATTGAAGATGATTCAAAGAAATGGAAAGATATTGGAAGAATATTGTTAGAATGGCCATACTACCCAAAGTCACCTATGGATTTAATACAATTCCTATCAAATTACCCATGGCATTTTTTAAAGAATTAGAAGAAATAATCCTAAAATTTATATGGAGCCATAAAAGACCCAGGTTGCCAAAGGAATCCTGAGGAAAAAGAACAAAGCTGGAGGCACAGCCCTCCCAGACTTCCAACAACACTAAAAAGCTAAAAAGTTATTGTAGTAAAAATGATAATGGCACAAAAACGAACATACAGATCAATGAAACAAAACAGAAGCCAAAAAAACCCAAAACAAAACCACAAACACCTACAGTTAATCTTCTACAAAAAAAAAAAAATCTTCTACAAAGGCACGATAATGGAAAAGACAGTCTCTTTGGTAAGTGGCATTGAGAAAACTATTTGTTAATCAATCAAGTTAGAACATTCCCTCATGCTGTACACAAAAATAAACTCACAAAGACCTAACTATAAGATATGACACCATCAAACTAGAAGAGAATGCAAGTAAACACTCTCTGACATAAATCACAGCAACATTTTCTTAGGTCAGCCTCCCAAAGCAAAAGAAATAAAAGCAAAAATAAATGGAACCTAAAAAAACTTATCGGCATTTGCACAGCAAAGTAAATCATACATGAAATGAGAAGACTGGAAGAAAATATTTGCAAATTATGAGATTGATGAGGGCTTAAATCCAAAATATGCAAACAGTTCATACTACTCAACAACAAAAAAATAAACAACCCCATCAAAAACTGGGCAGAAAACCTAAACAGACATTTCTTCAAAGACAAACAGATGGCCAAGAAGCACATTAAAAAGATGTTCAACATTGCTAATTAGAGAAATGCAAATCAAAACTACAATGAGGTTATCGCCTCACAGAATGACCATCATCAAAAAGTCTCCAAGTAATAAAGGCTGGAGAGGATATGGAGAAAAGGTAGTTCCTCTACACTGATGGTGGCAATGTACATTGGTGCAGCCCGTATGGCGAACAGCGTGGAGGTTCTTGGAAAACTATACGTGGAACTACCATGTAATCCAGCAATCCCACTCCTGGGCATATACCCAGAAAAGATGGAAACCCTAATTTGAAAAGAAACGTGCACAACATGTTCACAGCAGCACTATTTACAAAAGCCCAAACATGGAAGCAATCTAAATGTCCACCGAAAGATGAATGGATAAAGAAGATGTAGGTTACATATACAAGGGGATATACTCAGTCATCAAAAACAGTGGAATATTTCAATCTGCAGCAACATGGATGAACCTAGAGATTATCCTACTAAGTAAAGTGAGTCAGACAGAGAAAGACAAGTACTATATGATACCATTTATATATGGAGTCTAAAACATGACACAAATGAGCTTATTTACAAAAAAGAAACAAGACTCATAGACATAAAAAACTTATGGTTACCAAAGGGGAAGTGGGGAGGAATAAATTCTAGGTATGAGATTAACCTCTAAAGACTAGAGATCTCTTCAAGAAAATTAAGAGATACCAAGGGAACATTTCATGCAAAAATGGGCACAATAAAGAACAGAAATTGTATGGACCTAACAGAAGCAGAAGATATTGAGAAGAGGAGGCAAGAATACACAGGAGAACTATACAAAAAAGATCTTCATGACCCAGATAACCATGATGTGATTACTGGACTAGATCCAGGCATCCTGGAATGTGGAGTCAAGTAGACCTTAGGAAGCATCACTAAGAACAAAGCTAGTGGAGGTGATGGAATTCCAGTTGAACTACTTCAAATCCTAAAAGATTATGTTGTAAAAGTACTGCACTCAATATGCCAGCAAATTTGGAAAACTCAGCAGTGGCCACAGGGCTGGAAAAGGTCAGCTTTCATTCCAATGCCAAAGAATGTTCAAACTACCGCACAATTGCACTCATCTCACACGCTGGCGAAGTAATGCTCAAAATTCTCCAAACCAGGCTTCAACAGTAAGTGAACCGTGAACTTCCAGATGTTCAAGCTGGATTTAGAAAAGGCAGAGGAACCAGAGATCAAATTACCAACATCCGTTCAATCATCAAAAAAGCAAGAGAGTTCCAGAAAAACATCTACTTCTGGTTTATTGACTATGCAAAAGCCTTTGACTGTGTGGACCACAACAAACTCTGGAAAATTCTGAAAGAGATGGAAATACCAGACCACCTGACCTGCCTCCTGAGAAATCTGTATGCAGTGGCTCAGAGGGTAAAGCATCTGCTTGCAATGCAGGAGACCCGGGTTCAATCCCTGGGTCGGGAAGATCCCTTGGAGAAGGAAATGGCAACCAACTCCAGTACTCTTGCCTGGAAAATCCCACAGACGGAGGAGCCTGGTAGGCTACAGTCCATGGGGTTGCAAAGAGTTGGACACAACTGAGCAACTTCACTTTCATTTTCAAGAAGCAACAGTTAGAACTGGACATGGAACAACAGACTGGTTCCAAATCGGAAAAGGAGTACGTCAAGGCTATATATTGTCACCCTGCTTATTTAACTTATATGCAGAGTACATCATGAGAAACGCTGGGCTGGATGAAGCACAAGCTGGAATCAAGACTGCCGGGAGAAATATCAATAACCTCAGATATGCAGATGACACCACCCTTATTGCAGAAAGTGAAGAAGAACTAAAGAGCCTCTTGAGGAAAGTGAAAGAGACGAGTGAGAAAGGTAGCTTAAAACTCAACATTCAGAAAACTAAGATCATGGCATCTGGTCCCATTACTTCATGGCAAGCAGATGGGGAAACAATGGAAACAGTGGCCGACTTTATTTTTTTGGGCTCCAAAATCACTGCAGATGGTGACTGCAGCCATGAAATTAAAAGACGCTTGCTCCCTGGAAGAATAGCTATGACCAACCTAGACAGCATATTAAAAAGCACAGACATTACTTTGCCAACAAAGGTCTGTCTAGTCAAAGATATGGTTTTTCCAGTAATCATGTACGGATGTGAGTACTGGACTATAAAGAAAGCTGAGTGCCGAAGAATTGATGATTTTGAACTGTGGTGTTGGAGAAGACTCTTGAGAGTCCCTTGGACTGCAAGGAGATCCAACCAGTCCATCCTAAAGGAGATCAGTAATGAATATTCACTGGAAGGAGTGATGCTGAAGCTGAAACTCCAGTACTTTGGCCACCTGATGTGAAGAACTGACTCATTTGTAAAGACCCTGATGTTGGGAAGGATTCAAGGCGGGAGGAGAAGGGGACGACAGAGGATGAGATGGTTGAAAGGCATCATCGACTCAATGAACATGAGTGTGAGCAAGCTCCAGGAGTTGGTGATGGACAGGGAAGGTTGGCTGTGCTGCAGTCCATAGGGTCACAGAGAGTTGGACACTACTGATCAACTGAACTGAACTGATGAGAGATTAACAGATACACAATACTATGTATAAAATAGATAACCAACAAGGACCTACCATATAGAATAAGAAACTAGATTCATTATCTTATAATAACCTATAATGGAAAATAATCTGAAAAAGGATATGTATAAATGTGTATAACTGAATCACTTGGCTGTGTATCTGAAGCTCACACATTGCTCATTAACTTAAAGAAAAAGGAACATTGCTTTAGGAAAACAGGAACTGAATAGAAATTAATTTTAAGGGCGCTGAAGTGAAAGTGATTGCCACTGATAATATCAAACTGTCATCCTTGTGGCCAACATACAACTACTTGAAAAGTTCAGTTTTTACTTCAACGAGCTCTTGCTCATACAGATGCAGAACTGTGACAAATGACAGACAACTGAGGCACTGCATGCATCCGCACCTTGATTTGCTATGACTTCACTCATTCCGCTGCCCGTGACGGTTTGCAGGAAAGCAAAGTAACTCCTCCGCAACATCTGCTTCTCTAAAGCAGCAGACTGGTCATTTTCTTCTGCTGGTCGGAGCAAAACTTCAAAAATTGCATGAAGAAGAGGCATGAACATCTGTTGTAAAAATGGGGATACCTGTATCTGAAGAGAGGAAACAACTATTACTATCTGAGAAATAAGAAATTACTAATATAAAATTTAGGAAAAACATGTTTTACATAAAGCCTTTTTCCAGAGTTTCTATATTTAGAATACATACTTATATAATTCAGCTAGCAAATATCAATATGAAGACAAAAATCTACATAGCATATACGGTATTGAAAGCCTCAAAAATCAATAAATTCAAACCATTTCCTACAATTCAAGTTTCAGGTTCAAGTAACATGGAATCAAACATATTCTACAATCAAATATTGTCAAGGAATATTTTCAAATTTAAATTCTCAATAAATAAATTCTACTGCTAAATTAGGGCTTCCCTGATAGCTCAGTAGGTAAAGAATCCACCTGCAATGCAGGAGACGCTGGGTTCGATTCCCGGGTCAGGAAGATCCGCTGGAGAAGGGATAGGCTACCCACTCCAGTATTCTTGGGCTTCCTTTGTGGGGGCTCAGCTGGTAAAGAATCCGCCTGCAATTCGTGAGACCTAGGTTCTCTCCCTGGGTTGCGAAGACCCCCTGGAGAAGGGAAAGGCTACCCACTCCAGTATTCTGGCCTGGAGAATTCCATGGGTCACAAAGAGTTGGACACGACTGAGTGACTTTAACTGCTAAATTAAAAATGAATTTATATGATTGAATTCTGTGAAGGCTTTACATGGCCTTAAGCAAATTCCTTAACTTCTCACTTAAGTGTCTTAGTTTCTTCATCTACAGAAGAACAATATTTAACTTCCAGGGTTGTTACAAAGATCAAATGAATGTATAAGAAAATGCTCAGAACAGATGTTGAACACAGAAAACACTATGTTAAGTGTTAGCCAATTTCATTAGCCAGCTTATGCTTTGCTTAAATTTCCTTGTACATAAAACTGACATTAAATTACTTTTAAACTACTTGGATACCCAAATTACAGTGCTTTTAACTTATTCATTAGACATTTAGTATCCAGTGCTGTTTCACTTGCTTTTCTAAAACACGAAACTAATAGTTTTCTTCTAATGCACAGAACAGAAAAGATCTGTTCTTATTAAATATCTATCGACCATGCCCTGAATGTCAGGGAGTGTTGTAGACATTGGGACGATAAAAATGATCCATGCCCTCAGATAACTCATACTTAAAAAAAAAAAGCAAATGCTAAAATACACCTGAAGAGAAACACATCTAATCTTGCAGTCAGGAGACCGTACAGTCAGGACGCTCTCTGCCCTCTGAAGGCGTGGTACCTTAAATTTGGCTGTGATCTGGTTGATGAGAGGGATGAATTCCTGGAGGTCCTTTGCTTCACAGTCTTTGAGCATGTGTTCTGAAGCGGATGGAATGAAGGGAAGGACTTCTTCCTCCAGGCAAATAATCATGCGATGAAGGAAAGTGCGGACTCCACTTCTGAGAACATCCTTTTGTAAGGGACAGCTGAGAGCTGGCAAGAACGTCTGTAAACAGTCCAGGTAAACTTCCGAGCAGCCACACTGCTTCACGGTCTGCTTGTTGCTGAAAGCTTTGCTGGTTCGACTATATAAACAATTATCAGATAACTGGTTTTAAGTTTATTCTTCAGGTGTTTTATGGAGTCATAAACAACAATGTACAACAAATTACAAAACCAACAAAACAGAGCAGCCAATTCTTTACTTTCCATGTCAGTTATGTCCACTTTTAGCTAATGGTTGCTTCCAGTTACCATTCCAGAAAGGGCCCAAGTTAAATGAATAAAATGTAATTGATACAATCACTCAAGTGTGAGTCCACCTAAAAGTTTTGCTAAAATCCTGCTGAGAATATATGCAGTAAAGAGAAAAAAAATCTATTTACTATGAATACACTATACTACACAAACTGTAAACCACCAATTTATATTAGAAAACAATCTTAGAATTGAGTTATTTATACACTATCTCTAACATAAGCTTTTGCATGGAAGTCTTCTGTAGAGCAATTTCTCTAAGTGCTTCTAATTAAAAATCACTGTAACTTTCATGCTGTTATTGTTTACCAATAAAGAAGTATGTGTAGAGAGAAAAACAACAGCTTGGGTGGTTGGGACCCAATGCAACAACTAAGAAGAAGCCTCAGCACCTTATCTTTAAGGTTCCATAACAGATTCCTGATGTCATTGGTATATATACTTAAGCAAATCTCCTTAAATGCATTCTCAACTTAAACCAGAGAAATTAGAGAAGTTATGGATTTAGAAAGCTGTCAAGTTGAAATGCAGAATGTTACGAGATCTATTCCCTTCTTCAGCTAAACCTCCTAATTTAATGAATTTAGAAAAGAAATGTTTACACAATTCTCTGGACAATCCAGTTTTGGAAACACAACACACATGCCCAATTCTAGAAAAATCTAAGCAAATGATTCTGTACATATTGAGAAAATCACTCCGCGAATTTAAATGACAATCTTCACCAATCACACTCACCTAGCAAATCCAACAGCATGGTTGAGACAGTCTGCTAGAGATGCCTGCCTTTCTTCGTCCGGTGCCAGCATCAACTTTTCTAACAGAATTTTAAACTTCTCCATGAGCGGAGTCAACAGATTCCTCATTAACGCCTGCTTCCGCTCTGCTGGATACTCACTATTAACAATTAGCACTCCAGCTGTCTCATAGATAAATAATTGATCGTCGCTGCTCAACAAGGACTGGTAACCATTTTCCTAAAATGAAATTTAGTCTTATTGAAGTTTTTCTTTGTTCAGTTCCTCCCATTTAAAAGTAAAAGAGGGACAGAAGATAAACTGAATGAGAAGTCAAAAGATGATGGGTCTATTGAGACGACTTCGTAAATGGTCATGTAATGTAATAATCAGTTTTCTAACTTGTTTTACTTTCATTATAAAATTTATCTGCTATTGGGAGGCTAAAAGTCAGTTATACAAAGTGCTTTGAAGGTTAAGACAAAGGCCACACAGATTAATATTTTGAAGTGTTTAAGATTTAAATAACAACAAATGCCACATAATAAACACATACACAAGTTGTTACTTTTGCATGTTTGAAAATAAGACTGCAAATAAAAAGAAAAGATCTTATTCAAGTGTAAGCAAACATCCATCCATACATTGAGCCATTTTATTAATGACTTTTGTTATTTTTCACCTTTATGCAAGATGAGAGGCCAGGGGGAATGGGAAAGTATCAGAGGCCCTTCTACATCTAACACCAAAACTCCTTGTTAAGAAATTATTTACAAGCCTAGTCTTAAAACAGGTAAGTTGTGTGGTGGCCTTATTTTATATATCTATATATAAAAATATATATATAGAATATATATACACACACACATATATAAAAGAAACTTTATCGTTTAAAAGAGAACGTCCTTATTTAGAAGTAACTAAAACACTTATTAACCAACACTATCTAGGACTTGTGACACTATCACAACTGTTAGATAGTTGTGACATTATCACACTAAGAATCTAACAATCACTGCTCTAGAAGTTGAGATCACAAAGTTAAAGTTGCTAGAAAAATCCAAGGTACTTATACCACTACTAAGCAGTCAACATTCAGTAAAAGCACTGTGAATCAAGTCTTTTTACACCCTAAAAAAAGGTGTACAGGTATAGTACAAGTTCTTGTTTCGATGTGCAATAAGAAAAACAAAAAACTTCCAATATCCATAAATATGGCATGGCTAAATACGGCTCTGTGAAAGTCTTTTAATATATATATTTCTTTTGTATGTAGGCAAATTTAACCATATAATTCACTAGTAAGCTTTCATGCAATGAAATTAAATAACCCATATACTCTAAAAGTTGATACTTATTTTAAAAAACAAAATATTTTATGTTGAACATTTTTCAAGTGTGGCTCCATTAATAACTCTCATCAAAATGAAAAAAAAAGTCAATGTCAGTAGTTTGCTGGCAATGCCAGTATTTTACACAAAAACAGGTATCAGTCAAAATGTGCTTTGCTTACAAGGTATCTTTTAAAAATTACTTAAATCTTTCTAGTGAAATAAACAACTGAGATATTCAGATCAAGCAGCATTTAAATTCTTTTTACCTCAAGCCAGAAGTTTAACAAAAAAATTTCAGTCTACTAGTAGCAGTCACTGGGAATGGCTCGTGTGATCACAGTACTAAACAGAGAATAATTTTGAAACTGAATTTTTCTTCTCCAAAAAATACTTCACTGGCATTTAATAGTACAGAGAGCAGACCATATCTCACACTGCTAAATCTATCAATCAAATTTTGATTCCCTTCTATTTCTTTTTTTCCCCTTCTATTTCTATTACCATGTTTGTTTACTATATCTCAACAGAGTTTTAGTAAATAGATTTAAGCCCTACATCCCCCCCAACCCAACTTAAAACCTATCATTTGGAAAGAAAGATACTTACAGGTGGAGAAAGCTCTAATAAATCTTGTATTCTATTCAGAATATCCTCAATGAAAGGATTCATTTGTTTACTGAATAAAGGCAAAAAGGAAAACCACAATTACATAAATATATTAGTGCTTAGAGAAGTGCTGAAATATCAAATTCCTCTTTAAGGCAGAACTAAAAAAAAGTTCAGTTCTAAGGTAACATGTCACCATTCAGACTAGCTATGATTTTTTTTAAAAAACAATATTATATCCTAAGAAAAAGCAGTTTTCATACCTAAAAAAATGGTACTAGTAAAGAACAATATGACAGATTAAGTTAAAAACGTATTTCCAAGGAATATCATCTTTAGAATTTCAAAGAAACCATACAGTTTTATTTACAGCAATAAAACTGTGAAATAACTAATGCCTCTAGTAATGACAAGCGTTACATATAAAAATATCCAAACAAATCAGTTTAATAATGAACAAAGCACCTGGCTAAAGAGAAAGAAAAGAAATTTTAGCACAATACAAAAAGGAACATTTTTTTAAAAAGCCTAAGAACAGAAGCAACCAAATCTACCATAGGCCCTTAGACAATAAGTTACATCTTACTTAACAATCTTAAAAATAAGAATTAAACATAACAGCCAAATGTTTTACTTACTTGAGAGATTTAACAAATCTGGAGAATAGGTAAGCGGTTCTGCTCCGGACTTTAGCACTAGAGTGCCGCAGACCCCTGTGATCTAAGAAAGCCATCTAAAGAAACAGAGACACTTTTACTATTTCTGTACTTATTTAATGTCTTTTATTGCTAATGTCATGACATGTTTTTGTTCACAAAGAATTTTACTTTTTAGCTCTGGAAGACAGGAACCAGGTACATATATAAGTAAGTCTACACTACACACAAACAGGTTCTTGACTATTTGTTTTAAATAACTGTCTAGACACAAACTCCATTTTAAAGAAATGGAGTTTTAGCATGTTCAGGAGTTTTTGAGAGCTCTGGAAAAGTGATAAAAGAAAGAGAATACTATCTGTTCATTAGCTGAAACACATGGAAAATAACAAAAGCTGAGATTAAAGTGTATACTTACTAGTACACATGGAATGTGCTGAGGTTCAACTGTGAAAAACTTTTCGTATCTAACAACCGTTTCGAAGAACTCCAATGTCACAGATGTGTGTTGATAGGAACTAACTCCTGATGTCACCAGCTAGAGCAGGAAAAAGTCAAGAAATCTATCTTCATTTAGTGCAACATCAAAATGTCCCTGTAATAATGTACATTATCAACTCTGACAATTAAGAAACTCACATGAGCTTATATGAAAACAGAAAATTAGGTTCAGAATAAGTTGTCTTTAGTATACTTACAGTTCGCATCATATCCTGCAAAGCACTAGCTTTTGAAACATCCCCTGAGAAGTGAGCACCATGAGATACTGGAAGAGCTTCTGCCAACATATACAGCAATCTTATTGCCACTTCAACTTCCATAAACCGTGTAGTCTGCCAGTTCCTACCAAGGTACAATACACCACTGAGATCAGAATACAGACTTTCCATACAACTAGTGATGCACCGGATAAAAACACACCAACAAAATCCTCTTTAATTATTAAAAAGTCACAGCAATTGTTAATTCTGCCAGGGAACAAAATTACTATCACAGAAGTATAAACAACCAACGTAATCCATGTTATTGTTTATGTTCCAAAGAGCAGCATTTCCTCTCAAGGATCAAGATAAATGAAGGAGTCAAGTGCATTGTTTCAGAGATACACATAAGATCTCAGTAAGGAACATAAACAAGTAAGTCATGTGAATCACTTATGGTAGGCCACCATCAGAGAGAAGAGGAAAGAGGTGACTTGTTAGAAACAGATGAACAAACTTACTGCAGTGTAGAACTGAACACTCTGCGAACAGAAGCCAGCAGTAACTCTGGTGAAACTTGAGCAAGCCTGTCCAACAATAACTTCAGTTGTTTTCTATATTCTACAAACATGGCTTCGTCTTCACCCTATGGTATTTAAAAAATCCCATTAAAAAACTTAAAAGACCTTAAGACACATAAAATGGTGAGTTCTCATTAGTTTTTTATATTTACAAATGTAATACACTTTTATTTTTTCATAAATTTTACTTATGTAGGAAAACGCAGTAGTCTTTCCCCTCTGCTCATAAATAATTATTTTCCCAGCCCTAGACCATGAAAGCCTAGAGCCAGAAACAGCACAAGGAGGAGGCTAAAAACAAGAGCCATTATAACAGACGAGAGTGACCGAGGGATGATCAGGCAAACACCAGATAAGGGAAGGCTTTGGAAAACAAAAGCAAAAGTCTAAGCCACGAAGGGTTCAATAGGGCTTTATGAGAACCTTAGCATCTTATGTATACTTTGTACCTTACTGTCCACTGTAAGAACTGTAATAATATCACATGATTAAAGGTATTATATGTAATGAACCTGGCACTTTGCAAGTGCATGGTGTGTTGGTGATTATCACCATTATCATCCTCGTGTAGTTCAAAGTTTCTGAATGTCTGAAGTGGGTAGTAGAACACGTTAGCACACAGCTAGACAGTACATGCCATTACTGAGTTGCCAGAAAGCACTCATGACACTTGTGACCGATGGAAAGCTGACTCATGACAACCCTGGAGAGGACTTTAACCAGAACAAGTCCAGAGGCAGTGAAGTGCCTCATTCCCACTCTCCCGCAGACAATTACAATCTGAGGTCCACCAACTGGGCCTCAATTCCTCTCATTAAATATAAAGTGAAATATGATCACGAACAATACTGTCCATGTTTTACAAAGTTCAGTGCTACAGTGTCCTTAAAAGGGTCATTTTAAAGAATTAGAGGACAAAATACAAAAACATGAAGAATTATGAAGCTTCCATTAATCTAAGAAGTCGTCAATATAAACAAGACTAATTTTTAAAACACTTCTCGTTTTAAAGGACTCTAAGATACTCAAAACTTGAAACAGTAATTTGATGTGGGTACATAATAAAATTAAAACTGTTTTCTCCTCAATCCAAAATTCTTACCTCATTTTCAAAGTTATATTCTTCATCATAAGTTAATTTTTTCATAACGGCCAACATGATTGCCTAAAATTAAGAACAAAGTATCTTTTATCAGTCTCCTCTAATTTCACATAATTTGAAATTAGGCTCTGTTTCAAGGCAGACTGCAGATACAGAGTCTATTATTGGTTTAAAAGAAGCAAAAAGAAGTCAGTTACCTCTACATTAGCTTTTTGTTGATCTGAAAGCACTGTAAGCTGTTGAAAAGAAAGCAATCATTTATTAGGTTTCCTAAAGTAATACTTGCTTATCAAAATATTTTTCTATTCAGTATCTTTTCAAACACGCACACAGCTCTTCTGGAGGGCGGTTTGATAGCACCTTTCTGTATGTGAAACGTACCTAGTCTAAAATCTATCTATTTCACTTCTAGTAAGTAACTTGGCATACAGGCAAAAACATGTAGATAAACTTGATTTTTAAAGATACTTATAAATGTACTCAGCAAAGAAGCAGATTACAGAACAGCAAAGTATGATCTGACCTTGTTTTTAATTAAGTAAGGCCATAAAAGCCTAGAAATCCACTATGAAATACAGTGGGATTACCAATAGGGATTTTAACTTTCTTCATATCTTTTCACACCGCCTAAAATTTCTTCAAGTATGCACGCAGAAATATGTTATAACATATTATATTAAAATATGTTATAAATAAATATTAAGATAATAAAAATATTATCTTAAGCTTGACTCAAGTCAACTAAATCAGTGTAAATTAAATAGGCATAGCTCTCACCTAATGTCGTAATGAAAAGTTATTAATTCTTTAAATGGGTAAATGTATAATATATGAGATTCACACCTTCTACATTTTAAGTTCTATTATTGGCAGCAACTCTCTAGGGGCAAATTTTTAATTATAAAAAAACTTTATAAGAAATGATGCATATGTAATTAAAATAATAAACCATCTTTAACAAAACTTCTACTGTATTTAAAAACAAACACAGGGGACTTCCCTGGCAGTCCAGTTAAGACTCTTACACTCCCAAGGCAGGGGTACAGGTTCAGTCCCCAGTCAGGGAACTAAGATGCCACATGATACAAGGCCGAAAAGAAACACAGATTAAAAAGAAAAGAAACAACCTAAACCTATAACTAATTCTGAAGCTTTTTAGTCTAGTGAATTTTAGAACCTGGCCATTTGTTTTCCAGCTAAGAAGTTTAAAGGAAAGAAAAATATGAAAATATATTCATATTTAACAGTAAACATCATTAGAGTAGATAACTATCTTATTTTCATTTTCCTGTATTTTCCAATTCTCTATGGCTTTTCTATATTATCTACAACAAAGATTACCATAAGGACTCACCTGTTTCAAAATATGAAGATAATCGTAACAAAATCCAATAATGTTAGAAGAGATGTCATCATCCTCATGAATTAGGAGCTGCAACATCAGCGCCACCTTTGTTTCAATAGCTTGCAGTGCCTCCTGAGCATTTTTGATATCCCCATTTTTAATTAATTTAGTCCAGCTAACTATCAATGACTGTCCCATTCCATTGACCAATTTAGAAAATCTGGCCAGGAAGTCAACATCTTCTTCCTACAAACAATACAGATCTCAATTTAAAACCAACTACCTGAGAGGAAAAACTCTAAATTTTAGAATGGATCAAGTGCCAATTATAGGAGTCAATTTTAAACTAACATTAGACATTAACAATACTACCATTTTGACTGAGAAGTTTTAAGAGTCTGAATTCTTCTACTGTTATTATCTGCTAATACTCTCAAAATAACTATCTTTAATGATTACAGTCATGTAGACATTGTCAAATTATAAAAGTTTAAAAAAGAGAGATTCAAAACCTTCTCTCTAAACTGATGAATTTAGTAAATACCTTCTAATAAACTTAATGCTGCCTTATTATGCTTTGTGCAACAATTTACAAGTCCTTTCTGACACTATTTGAACCTCAACTACATCACAGAGAGATAAAACTGCTATTAAAATAACCTACCTAAAGTTAATCAGCATTAGTGTTAGAACTCAAAATCAGGTTTATTTTCATTAATTATCCTTATGATGTTCTCCTACAGAAAGATTTTTTAGCTTCACCATTTTAAGTCTTTTAATAAGACAATTATTAGCAGTGTAACTGACTACACTTTGTCAGTTAGGTAAATACCAGAGGTGTACTCCTGATATATCAACAATACAAAGACTTAGTAATTCTTTATCACTGTCACAGGTAAAATTAAAAGTAAAAACCTTCAAATTCAGTTTCTAAATTATTAATTTACCACACTCACTCAAGCCCTAATTCTGCTGAGGCTAAACTCTAATCGCTCAAATGAATATGGTGAAAATGTAACATTAATAATGGAGTCTAATTTAGGTCAAAATGCACTGCCATGCTTCTTAAAGTATGGTCCATGAAGAGCAGTATCACAGCATCACCTGAGAGGCTATTAGAAAGCACAATAGTAAGTACTATCCCAGATCTTCAAGTTTAAGTCTGGTATAATCCATGGTTAAGGAAAATGTTACACATGACATTACAGCTTTCTGGACAGTGTTTCACTATTATAAGCTCAAGGAAGTTTCCAACGCTTAAAAACAAAAATAAAGAAAAAGGAAAGTATATTTAAATTACTGCCTATCCTAGTCTGTTCTAACAATTTTCAAAACCTTATACATAAATTTACTGACCCGGTCAATGCTGAAAAACCCAGCAGACTGTAACACTTGACACAAAGATTCTACCAGTTTCATTTTATCAACAGGATCCATTCCTTTATTTACAATTTCAAATAAACAATCACATGCTTCTTCCCGTAGAACTTCTATTGACATATGACCTAGCAGCATATTTATAAACCTGGCAATGGAGAAACAAAAATTCTTACAATATTTTCAAATTCTTGAGTTTTACACACTGTATCTGCAGGTTTATATTCTTAAAATATAGATTTACTTACCTATCATTGGCTATAAGGGATAAGTCTATCCAAGAGACATAAGCCCCAACTACTTCAAGGCACTGGCATGTCACTTCTGAATTGGTATACTGATAATTTTGTAGGATTTGGTACCATGATTCCACCAAGTTTGGAATGCACTGTTCCCTCATGGTATCCTTTATGAGAGTATTCCTACGAGCCTCCTAAAAAATACCCCAAGATACCATATATACAATCAGATTACCTCCCAACATAATGTTTGATATCTGTATAATAGTTGCACACAGTAATTTCCTCACCACTACATTTCCCGACTTGTTAACACATTCCCTGCCAGTATTTCCTATTTATCTGCTCTAAAATCATAAGCTGTGATTCTAATTCTTCCTTCCATTCAACTTGGACATAATTTATTAAACACAAACTATAAAAAAAACACTGCTTAGAAATTTTAACCATGTGATAAAAGTTATTTCTCAGTATTATATGAACATACTTAAACTATTTAAGAGAACAGCAATAATATAAACAATACTCTTTATAAATGTCATATTTAACACACAATAACCTTAAATCGTCATACACATTTGAATGAAGCTATTTCCATTGTGTTCTTTAAGAAAAAGGAGAAAGTTATATTGGGTAATAAAGAAATAGAGAAAGACTAAGATCATGGCCTGTGTGACAGAATACAGAAGAACCTAGCACTGGTACATGGCAATGCTTTTTCCTCACTCAGCAACTATAAGGTAATAGTAAATACAGGCCACATTTCTCTACAAATTCATAGGAAAAAAATCAATTTGTTTGTTTCACTAGAGGAAGTTCCTGTCTGGTTTAAAAAAAAAACACAAACACTAAATGCTCTAATTTCACCCTATACCTGGGGAAGAAAACCCCAATTTAAGTTCTTTTGTAAAATAAAATTCAAAATGTTGAGCAAATTTGTAAGTATTCTTAATATTTAAGTTTTATCAAAAACAAAAAAATAATCCTTCTTGATCCTTTTATTATGTACCCAATATCTCTTGCAATATCTAAATTAAAAACTTATTAGTAAGACGTTACTTGCCTCTGAGGTGTGAACCACATCACGATCCACCAACTCTGAATCAATAGCCATGAGAATTCGGAGGTACAGATCTACTCCCCTTGGATTTAGGTCCACTACTGAGAGAATGTCAAAAAAAAATTTGGGCCATTTAGTGAGATATTCTGTAACAAAAAGCAAGGCGAAGACTTGGGCAGCTTTATTTCGTATGAAGGTCTTCTCTGGCTGGGGATTCAGCATCTGACAAACAAAGATACAGTTCATGAAATTAAATGTAAATGGAAAAGACTCAAACGTCGCTCTCCTGTTTATCATCAGCAGGTAAAACCCCACTAAAGTGCACCACGGTCTCCTACAGCTGTGCAGCAAACACGCCTGAGAATTACCGAGTACTAAAGTTTCACGGGCAGAATTTTAGTGGTTCCTAAGGCCTTTTCTAAGAAGAAAACAAACACAATGATTTTTCTTCTAGCTGCTTGCTCTGTAAGGTAATTATTCTAGCTACACAACTGCTTTAATATTTTAAAATTAGCTAAAATTAATGAAAAATAAAATACTGTGAATAAGGAACTCTATTGGCTCCTTTATAAAGGGCTCTTTGTGAACAATCGTTCCAGGAGGGTTCACCTTAAATGTGAAAACTGACTTTTATTTAGTAGTTAAAATTACATTTTAAAACCAAAAGTTTCCACCATGTGTCATGGAAAGAATGACAGCTTCAATTATTGATATAATTTTAGGTTACTGCTAATTTTTTATCACTCCTAATCTTCAAAGCCAGCACTTTCTAAAAGAGCTACATGATCAAATGGAGGATATATGAGCGACATTTTTGAGGTGAAGCTGCAAACTCTTCCAAAAATAAAAACTGAAATATCTGGCAATTTGAGGTACTAAATGTAAAAACTACTATTTTACCTGAGCTTGAAGCCAAGATACAAGCGTCTCTCTAATTAATTGTTGTTGAACAGTGGTTAGTTCTGAATATCTGTTCAAAATACAGAAGAAAAACAATAATGGTAATATTTAGTGTATGTGGTTTTTAAAAAGTAATGGCCTCTTATATTTGAAACAGAAAATTTGTATAGCAATTACCTAAAATTCCCTATGATAAATTGGTAATAATCCTCATTACCACTTTAAAGACAGGGGTGGGAGTGGCTGGAGAGCTATCAATATTGATCTTAGTTTGATCTGTGATCCAGTTCATGCTAAAACAAAATGGCTGCTACACAATTTTTCAAATGAAAATAAGTCCATGGTCTCAGGTCTGTGATTTACAGAATAAATCAGGAGGCAAACTCAGGATCCCTGGGGCAGCAATTCACGGTTTCTGCTTAAATCAGGCAGGGGTTTTTGGAAAAGTCAATGGCAACCCACTCCAGTGTTCCTGCCTGGGAAATCCCATGGACAGAGGAGCCTGGTGGGCTACAGTCCATGGGGTCACAGAGTTGGACACGACTGAGTGCCTAGACAACAACAGGCAGGGGTTCCAAATACAAGTGCCCACACTGCCACTCAACTGTAACAGAGAGCGGTCATGTACTGATACAGCACGGGGTTGCCGTATCTTTTAATTCTTTCCCAGAGAAACTGGAATTTAACTTTTTCCTGTGTACTGACTGGATTCTTTTATGGAGCCAATGAACTCGATATTTTTAAAACACCTTGGGATAAATCAAAACATATCTCAAAGCTGGATATGACACATAATGTCAATTTACAGCCAATGTTATGATGTCCCCAAAGAGGGAAAAACTAATTTCAAAAATAGCCTCTCCCCACAAATCTTAGTGAGAAAAGCCATACTTGTATTTAACTTGATGTTCCAGTACTTGGAAGCAGAAAAACTTAATATGATCATCACTGAAAAAGAAAAAAAAAGAAAAATTAGATAAAGCAAATATGAATTGGGAAAAACAAATCAAAAGTAACTAGTAATGAATAACTCAGTTGAAAGTTTCTCAAACCAGACTTTTGGCTTATTGCTCTCAAGTGTTACATTCACATCCATTTGTAAGCTAAGAGAACTTTATATAATATTCAACAGAAATCTGACAAACAGAATAATCCCAAATTAAGATTCACTTTAAGTACATACAGCACTTTGCAAACAGAGAGCATTCCCCCCAAATTCTAGATGTTAGGATTCCCAAAGCAATTCTTACATTTTACAACAGAAAGGATAGATGTAAAATGACAAATGGTAGAACAGCCAGAAACTGTATCAAGTCAGAGATGGTCACCAAAGCCACACACAAACTTAAAAGCCACACACAAACTTAAAAGTTCTACCGCAGCAAAATCCAACACAAGAGAAGTCCCCTAGACTGGCAGTCAGCCTCAGACTCATACAGAAAACCAGGTACAAACATGTTGCTTTAGGGACTTCCCCGGTGGTCCAGTCGATAGGAGTCTGCACTTCCAGTGCATGGGGTCTGGGTTTGGGCCCTGGTTGGGAAACTAAGATCTTGTACATTGCATGGTGAGGTCATTAAAAAAAAAAAGAAAGAAAGTAAAAACAGATATATGATCTTAAAAAGGGGGGGACTAAAAATCAATATCCATCCACTGTCCACTTCTAACTGTCTCCCTAGGAGTGACAACAGAGATGCAGTGAGCTAGCTACAAGCTCTGACCAAGTCTCTTTAATGAACAACAATGTTCTTTTTAGACCATTGGTTTGAGTCAGGCATAGTCAAGGAACAATTTTTCATATACAAAGCTAACTACAGTCAATGTAAGAATGGAGGTATTGTCTTCATTCTGACTACATCCCTTAACCCCTCCACCAAAAAAAATTCACACTTAAGAAAATAAAACCTAATTTTTAAAAGTTTTTTAAAAAGTTACATTTAATTAGCATCTTTTCTAAGACCTTACGGTTTCTATTCTTATCATGGATTGCACTGAAGCTTTAATTATATGACTTAGATTTTTCACTCAAAATATAAACTACAAGGAGCCTTTCATTAAAAGCCAGCCCTCATTTACTCTAAGACATATAGATGTTCTTCAAAATCAACTTTCACTAAATTGGAGCACTTGCTTTCAGCTATAAAATGTAGTGACTGATACTCCCAGCATGCAAGAAATCTAGGTAGGAATTCTCACTGACCTCTATAAAGTCATTTACACGCCCACTAGTAGAGTTGTTTGTTCACAACTGGTCAGTGTGCTTCCCCGAGTCTCACTAGGTGCACTGTACTTCTTTTATATTTAAGTAACTTACTTAACTACTATATAAAATAACAGTGAGTATGATAAGTTTCTGTTTTTGTAACAGTTAAGTCGAAAGCTTTAGAAAGAGTTCATAGAAAGTCACATTGCCTGGGAGAAAAAAACCTTGTACATGTGTATTGTGGGCCAGATAACCAGAAGACTGTTTAGAAATCCACATTCACTGTTCTTCAATCCACTACAGGGACCCAAAGCAGAAATTGGAGAGGATCAGTTATGGGGGATTTCAATATTTTCAACATTAAGAATCACAAAGTTATTGTGGCACATACACAAAGAAAAAAGTGTTGGTTTGACATCAAAAGATTAGTAACTGAATGTTTATGCACTTAAATTAAAAATTAAGATAGATAATTTCTGATTACCTTCTTTACCATGTTTTTAGAAAACCAACCATCCCTCCTCATCATAAGAAAATAAGGAAATTTCTACTGTACTATATGCCAGCTGGAACCTACTGCCAGGTACTCAGAATAAGGCAAAGAAAGGATAGTTTTAATGAAAAGTGCTTTCAGAATTGGCCAAAATTTTTAGTTTACTATTTTTCTCATTATACATTGAATAGTATTTTAAAACTAAGGCATAAAATGTTTTTATGAAAGCCTTTTTCAAACAGATAAATGAAACAATCCTGCCAAGTTCATAAAAATTTAAAGTCTTCTACAAGTTATGTATATTTTGCTTTAATTACCTGTACGTCCTCTGAGCCAGAGCTTCTGCACACACCTGCCAGGCATCTGGGGAAATCTTTAACTGTTCAAAATAGGCCAGGGCCTGTACAATTGCAAAGCAGAATATGCATTTGGAATAGTCAACCTCAATTCTTGCCAACACTCAACAAAGTTTACTGAGAGTAGTGAACTACGTACAGCGACTAAAACAACAGCTGGAGACTGAGCTCAGGCTTCTGAGCATGTGCAACTGAATGACTGCTCCTAGGAAAAGGTTAGGTGAAAAACGAATTCCATCAGCCGGACACTTCCAACCTGTTTCCTTATGGGGAAGGAGACAACACAAAAATGCCCTGCAGACCTCCCCGGGTTATTAGAAGATACAAGAGAAACACCCCAGTGCTCTGTTAGGTGCTGTAGCCTGAGGCTCATGCGATTATAAAAGGGGGTATAAAGAATACTTTTCCTATTTAATAGCAAACATGCTATTAAGGAAGTGACTACATATAAAGGATGAAACATTCTGTATTATCATTTGCTCTACCATTTAACAGAAAAAGAGAATTATTTCCATTTTTCAACTGCATCAGTAAGTTTCCTAAATGGTGAGATTAAAATCAGAGTTGAACTGCTTGACATGAATTTTAGGGAAGTACCAAATAACTAAAAAAGTCAAAGCTTTAGGAAACGCGTCTCTCATCCCTGTATTCATGAATTCTGGGTCTTGTTACAAGAGCAAGCATCCTCTAGAACAGATGCAGCACCAAGTCCACAGGCTATCTACCACTGCTGGGAAAATAGGGGTGACTCACACTCTTCCATTTGTATGCTGCAATGGAGATCAATGACGGATGCCAGTTTCACATGTGACAACAAACCGTAATCTCAGTAACTTCCAAAAAATATCTTAGTCAAGAAAATAACACATAATCTCTAGAAACACTGCTAAATGAGTCTGAAGCAATTAAGCACATACCTTGAAACGAGTTGAGGAATCTAATTTCAATTAGCCAATATATATTTTTTTAAATGTGGTTTGTGCCTCATCAATGTTGTGAAAACAATTTTATCAGTCTTGATCAGCAATTTAAAAAATGAAACAGAATAGAGATATTAGAGTGCACTGCACCTAACAAGAATAACTATTATTTTGTATGACTTGTTTTACTTATGCGTGTATATATATATATGTCATATATTCACGTGTATATACATACATGTGAAAGTGAAGTGAAGTCGTTCAGTCATGTCCGACTCTTTGCAACCCTGTGGACTGTAGCCCACCAGGTTCCTCTGTCCATGGGATTCTCCAGGCAAGAATACTGGAGTGGGTTGCCATTTCCTTCTCCAATATACATACATATGATATAAAATTATTTTTTCCTTTGGGTTAGAGGTTAAAAAAAATAAGTTAGAATCCTTGAGTCACAATGAGAGCTCTCACACTGAACAAAAGATTCTGCTTGCCACAAGTTAGACCCGAGGCAGCCAAATAAATATTTTTATTTATTTTATAAACATACATATATTTTTAAACCTGCAATAATAATGGAAAGCTACAGAAATGGCAACCCACTCCAGTATCCTTGCCTGGAGAACTCCATGAACCATGGAGCCTGGCATGTTACAGTCCCTGGGGCTGCAAAGAGCTGGACATGTCTGAGTGAGTGATGCGCGTGTAGTCAGGGGATGGTTTCCTGTGTTACGCAATTGTATGCATGAGGAAATGAGGTTTTATGCGCTGTCTCAATGGCTGTTCCCACTGAGAGGACCAGGTGAAAGAAGTGAGTAGAAGAAGACCACCAAATACTATCTTAAGTGTAAATAACGGCTGCCTTTAGAATTAAGAATATAGGAGCTCAAGCAGCAGAAAAAAAATCTAGTCCAGGTGTCTAGGAATACCTATCCGATAAAGGCTCGAGCTTCCCTTAGGAGTGTCTCAGGGGCCTGGGCAGGGACAAGGTGCAGTCAGTCCTGCAGACTGCATTACCATCTAATAAAACAAAACTCACCAAAACAGGTGGGGGAGGTGTGATTCAGCTGCTAGAACTGTCACTCAGTTTTAAGCCAAAGACAGATATTCTATTTTTTTAAGTGACAATAACTTGAAAATTTTCAGTTTTAACTATTCTTTGCACTCTGAATCCATGTGATACTAGCATTAAAAAAAATAATAATAAAAACAACACTGTAACAATGATGAACAAGTCCGTTTCCATCGCCCAGTTCTTGTGTCTCACACCTGTCTATTGCTCCACCGTCTCTAGGTGGCAAGAGAGTCAGTCCAGTTCCTTAGTGCCCAGGGAGAAAACAGAACTACAGACAATTGGGAACCAGGGTTGGTGGTTATTTATCTTATGACAAAATTGAACTAAGTTCCTGCTACTCCTCAATTCCAGCATCAGGACTATCAGGACTTACTTTTCCTTATAATTCCTTATTTTTCATTCTAATTATTACTCAGGGTGGCTTAAAGGAGTATCAAATTAGGCCGGGATCAGGATGTCTAACATATGCCTCTGACTGATAGAACCCATTTTTATTGCTAAAAAATCTAACTTCTATAATATTAAAACCACTGTCAATGTACTAGTTTTACTTTCTGAAAAAGAAAATCATGGCACATTAAAAAAAAAAGTTCTGATGGTGGAATTTAATTATAAAACAAAGGATTTCAAAAAAGGAACATAAAAAATAACAGAGAAGCTTATTTAATAACTAAACAAATAGTCAAAAGTTATGTAAACCAAGCTAAACGAAAGGTACAGATTTATTATGCTTCAACTATGTTCATGACTAAGGGTTTGAAAGTAGGTAGCTAAAGCTCCTATGAAAAGAAATATTTGTCTATATACACAAGACGTAGGCTTTTTTTTTTTTAAGACATAGACTTTTAATGACTTTTCATGTCCTAACCGGTTTGATAGGTATCTTGTAATTAGCTATTTAAATCTCACTTTTTGTCTTTTACCTCTATCTGGAAGGCTGGTTACTTCTTTTAACAGCAGAGACAAGTACACAATACTATCCTGGAAATCCCTGCAGATTTTTTTTTTACTATTTAAAAAAATTTCTGTAAAATTGTTGACTTTTATATTTTGTAAAATTTTTAATATATTTTGTAAATCGTTAACTTCATTTAGCTCATGTATTAAAAAAATATCCTTTACTATGAGAGCAGAAAGAAAATGACTCTTCATCCATTCACCTTATACTTTAAACCACCCACACATCTTTAAAAAATTTAATTACAGGCTTGTTCTTTAGATTTTTCTTTTATCATTCAGCCATGATTACAAGTGTATGCTACAATATGTTTAATTGTTTATACTTACCCAAATATCCCAGCACCTCATAATGGATTCTTTGTCATGTAATCATTTTAGGTAGCCTGAGATATGGTATATAATACCTGCTTATTTACATGTCTGCCTGATCGAAGTAACAAGAATGTTAACCATCACTAACATGAGGGTTAAACACTTGTTTAGACTAAATTAAACCAAGCGATGGAAAAACATAATATGTACGCCTGCTACTATGGCGAGTCCCTTGAACAATACTTTACAACTTTCAAATAATTATAATGATGTGACATAAAGACTTGCCTTGAATTACATGAGATTTTAACACTGTTGTTAAGCCAACTACAGAGAAGATAAATCACAATCATTCATTGTTTCTGTATTCAGAATATAGTGAAATACCTCAGATTTGTTTCTCTATTCATTTCCATCCAAATTAAACCTTCCTCAGATATGAATTTTTTATTCAAGCCCTCTAATGAAAATGTTTACGTAACATGCTTTAAAAAATGATTAAGCCGACATGACTTACCCTTTGTCTGAAGTCTGAATCAGCATTTGGATTTAGACCTAAGAGAGCCTGTTCATCCATTCCTGCTGCTATACTTGGAGTTTTCTGATTACAATAGGCGTCCCCTCTAATCCCACAGAAGAATCCACAAACATCTGTACACACACACAAAGTTGAAAGAAAAAAACACTTGATAAGCAAAATAGATGCTTATCCTGAATACCATTACAAGCAGATAACATTATACAAAGACATTTTAACATTTAAGAGTTCAAAGAACTTCCTTTGAAACAATCCAAATTACAAGTATAGGAGCCTGTCTCAGCAGAGTGGGTCTGCTAAATAGTCCACTAATGTGTAATTTCTAAGGTATGTCATTAAGGTTCTTAAATTTCTTTTCTTCAAGATCATCAATAAAGTATAGAAAGTAATTCTTTTTACCTGAAATAGAAGCATCTAATTTACATTGTTACTATCTCCAATAAAGTGCAACTGTGCAACCACATTAAGTTCAAAAAGAAATACAAATTCACATTATGTTACTGACGAATTAACACTTATTTAAGAACTTTTTTTTAGTCTCTGGAAAGCACTGCACTTTTTCACAATTTAGAGTCTAACATTTTCAAGTAAGAACATGATCAGCCCCAAAGGCAACTTGGTTTCTGATAAATGTGTATTTATTTGCAGAAATAAAGAACAAACTCTACCTGAGGTAAGGAGACCTGGTCTTACTACTCTTAAAAGGCAAGAACCTGGGGGTGGGGGGCACAGGGGGTAATGAGGAAGGGGCCACAGCCTTTCTTGGGAATGGTGAGGCCAGGATTGGATCCAGGTTACAAGATTCTTACTACAACATCCTTTTCTGTCTCCCGCTGGTTCTGCCAAATCAATGATAAATCAGGATGTGTTCTGAGAGCCTTGGAGAAGAAAGCTCAGCCCCTTCTCTTATAATTAAGGTCATACTTGCAGATTACATGAAGGCAGTGTAACTCCCTACTGCCCTCAGGATTAAGATCCAAACACTTTTCAATGACTGTAGCCATTCTGCACTCTAACCACGCAAGACAACTGATAGTCTGCCTTTCATCTTTGCACACATTGCTTACTTGGTTAACCCCTGCTTGTCCTTCAGAACTCAGCTTAGAGGTCACCAGCCCAGCTTGGATGCATGAGACAAGTGCTCGGACCTGGTGCACTGGGAAGACCCAGAGGGATGGGGTGGAGAGGGAGGTGGGTGGGGGGGGATCGGGATGGGGAATACATGTATATCCATGGCTGATTCATGTCAATGTATGACGAGAGCCACTACAATGTTGTGAAGTAATTAGCCTCCAACTAATTAAAAAAAAAAAAAAGAGGTCACCTCTTTCAAGAATGCTTCTTTGACCCCTATTCCTCAACTTTCCCAAAATGGATGAGAAGCCCCTCCGAGTGCTGATAGGTTGTCACTGTCTGCTTTCTACTTTTCTCTCATTAACCTTAAACGGAAGGAGTGACCGAGTTATTTGTCACTATGTTGCTAGGATGAAATATAACATAGATTTTGGATTTGCAAAGATTTGGACTGGCACTCTTAATCTTATTTCCAAACTGGGGCCACGTGGACAACTACAAAAACTGAGAGAGCCCTTTCTATGAAATAGGAAAAAAAAGAGCACCTGCCTCATAAAGCAGTAAAGACTTCAATGAGACAACGTATGTAAAGCATGACTGGCACACAGTGGGCCCGCAATTCATAATTCAGAGCTAGGCACATGGGAGAATGGGAACTACTTGGAGCATTCTTGATTTATCACATCACACTAGAAAACCGGCATTTTGAACAGACGGAAAAACAAAGGCATTGTTAAAAATTTGATGATAATCCCCCTGAAAAATGCACACACAGAAAGAAAAGACGATCTGAATTTCTATGAATCCCAGATCGAGAAATTCTGTAAAAGATTCCTTGAATATGGCATGGCTTTAGAAAATTTCATAAACTTGGTCACTTTGATTCTATCAAGGGAAACAGCAAGCGGTACTAAGAAAAAAACATTGCATATAAAATCTAAGGAAACGAACTTGTTACAGTTGTCGGTAGAGAAAGAATCTCCCATGGAGAAAGCACTTGAATGATAATATGCAATGGTAAGTCACCTACATGTACGCAAAAAAAACCTGAAAAGTTGTAACGTATGCAAAAACGTGACAATTTTCCTAGCAAAAGGTTGTGCATGAACACATATCTAGCATGGTATAGAGGTGCAGGCTTAAACATTTGTTACAATATGATAAACCCTTCAATTACGCATCTAGCAAATGTTCTTGGGGAAGGCAAGCAAAATACTTAAAAATATTAAGCCCTAACTTTACTATGGATACCCATTAAATCAAGAATCAAAACAGTCTGGAAAAATTCCACTACACCTACTGAACACTGTTCTTAAGTTCCAAGGCTGAATTTTTCCAGCCTTTTACCACCTCGCTGACAACTCGCTTTAATCAAACGTAACTTCCCCCAGTAACAACTAATTAGCACTTTCAAAAAGTAATTTTTTTTTCTGGTTACAAGGAAACATCATGTTTCTCTACTCCTGCAGAATTGTGAGGAAGGGAAGAGCAAAAATGGCGTGTCCGTGCTGGCAAATTACTACACAGAAATAATACTTTTTTTCTTTTTTGTCCTGGGACGGGGTGGGGGTGGGGATCAAGTTTGAGGTCTCTGCAGTTGAAACTGCTGAGATACGCTACAACTATTACAAATGGGCTTAAACACTTTTACTATGTGGGGGCCACAGGCGATGGGGGCCCTCCTCCGCCGGCCTTGCCCCTTTCCTTCCCCCGGATCCCTCCCCTAAAGGAAGCCTCGTGGCAACTGGAGTGATGAAACACCGGGCAGCTAGCGGCCACGCACTGGGGACGCGCTCTGCCGCAGCTCTTACTACACCCACCCAGTCAGCCCAGCCTCAGGGCGCACCGCCACGGAGAGCCCCGGGCCCGCACCCCTCACCAGCATGGGGGCTTCCCGGGCCAGTCCTCCCGGCCAACTTCCCAGCAGCCTCGCGTGGACCGAACTGGGTCCGAGTCCCGCCCCAAGCCCCGAGTCACCTTCCCTATCACTCCATCCCGCCTGCCCGCCTGCACTCCCGAGGGCCGGTCAGTGGAGCCGCGCCGCAAGCAGGGAGCGAGAAGAGCGGCCCTCGTCCTCGTCGTCCTCCGCCACGGCCGCGGCGCTAACGCTGGAGACGGAGCTGGCCGGGGCCGCGCGCCTCTCGCCGCTCTGCGTCTCCTGGCGCCTTCTCCTGCGTGGCGCCGGGCAGGAAAGCTAGCAAGCTGGCGGGCGGGGTTGGCGCCCCAGGAAGGTTAAGAGCGTGAGGGCCGGCTAACGCCGCCACGGCCGTCGCCGCTGAGTCAGCGCGAAGCGCGCTCCCCGCGTCGGTGTCGCGCGGACCAAAGCCAGCAGCCTCATGGAGAGGGCTGACGACGGCCCGAGGGCCCGGACCGGCAGCCTACGACTCCCAGCATGCAATGTGCAGGCGACGCTTCCGGGCGACGGTGCGCAGACGCGCACCGGGCGCTCGCCGGGAGGCGTGGTCGCCGGGGCCTCTGGTGCATGCCGGGATGGGGGTCCGGTCGGAATCTTTCCCGGCTGTGAAGTCTGGTGAGGCTTCTGCGCCCGGGCGGAGATCCGTAACCACCCTCCCCCCACGCCCCCAAGCCGGGCCGGGTTTGCTTAGCACGTTCCATAAAGACTTAGGGAGGTAGTTGGTAGGTTAGAGAACGGAGTCCCGGAGAGCCGCCCGTCGTGGTCCAAACCACGTGTGAGTCAGTTGTTTAATTTCGCTTATGATCGCACATGTTCCCCCGCGTGAGCATCCCCCGACGAGCGCTGAAGATTTTTTGTCAGTTTAAACGTACCAGTATTTTTGTCATTCGTGAAAAGATACTGTTTACTTCGTGCGATACTCTTACTTGGTTTATTCATTCACCGATTAATTTAAAATACTGAATAGAGATAGTACAGGCTCAAGCTGTGTAGATTTGGATCCCAGCTCGTCCCACTCCCGTTACCCCGCTCACTGATTGTTAACCTCAGGTTCAGGCACGTTACATAATCTTATCTGTACTTCAGTACGATTGGATTTTTCTTGCTCGGTAGTGTCGGACTCTTTTTCACACCCATGGACTGTAGCCCGCCAGGCTTCTCTGTCCGTGGGATTTTCCAGACAAGAATACTGGAGTGGGTTGCCATTCCATATTCCAGGGGATCTTCCCCACCGAGGGACAGAATCCGCCTCTCCTACATTGGCAGGCAGATTCTTGACCACTCAGCCACCTGGGATGCCCCTGTTTACTCATCAGTAAAACGGTGTATGCTGCTAATAGTACCTACCTCAAAAGCTTGTTGTGAGAATTGAGTTAATACTTAATGTTTGACATACAATAAGTGCTCTTTATTTAGGTTTCATTACTGATTGTTAAGTATGTACTGAATATAGACTAGGTTACCCTCAGTGGGACTAGAGTGAAAAACAAAACCCGGGAGAAGGGAATGGACAGAAAAGTAGAATAAAATTAATGTAACCATATAACAGCTACATTTATTTCGTGACCTGCCCCGTGCAAAACACTGCACCAGGCATTTCATATATAAAGTATCTTGAGTCACTTTTGCATCACGTTTATAATTTACTTGTTCAAAATCTAAGGCTAGGATTCCTGTTCTATTTCAGTGTATCCCTGGTGCCTAGTACCACACTGTAGTTACAATTCAATAAGTGAATCATTGCATGGATTCTTACATTAGCTGTGTGGGTCAACTACTGACTATGGAAGTTCAATACTCATCCTGGTCCAAGTGACTCCAAAGGCTATAATGTGTTCAGCATATTCCACTGTATTATCCTAAATAACTTCAAAACACAGTCTATTATATTGGTACTATCATTGCCTTTTTCATTTGTAAACTCATTTTGTGAATACTTCATAGTTAAATTAACTACTTCATAGTTAAATTACATGAAGTTTATCTACAGCTTATCTAATATCTATACCTTATCTACAGTTTATCTAGTAACACTGGCCTTTCATGGTAG